ACAGTTTAGTCCATTTCTATGGGGCAACCAGATTTAGTTTTGATCCATCTTCCCGGGGTTTAAAATCTTTTGGTTTCATAAATGTGCTTCCCGGGATATATGGGCAATTTGGAACCTTGATTTTATTACCTTTTTTTTAAGGGATCATAAACCAAGCCCTGAAGATCGCCACTAGGGTGAAATAAGCAGTTTAACAAAGCCAGCCATAAACCATCCTGCCACTGGAAGGTGAATAAAACTTGTGGAATAACAGGGTTTGGTTTTGTTGCATGGCAGAAATATGGGTGAGCTGCCCATCCTAGCCAGTGGCACTGAATCTATTTCCTTGGTGCGACATTTGTTTTTACAAACATTCTACGAACAATAAAAATGCACCATCGATTTTATTTGTTCCACTGCTGTCTCCAGCACGGATCGCCATTTTGCCACCGTGATACACATGAGGAGCCATCCCTATTTTTCTAATGGTGGTTACATTGATTTCTCACTGCGGCCATTAATTTGGCCATTAATTTTAATTGTACATAGATGCTGCAGTGCTCACTATTTAGTGGAATCAATGGAGGGAGGGAACAGCTCCAGCAGCAGTTAGAATAAAGGCCCTTCCTTTTGGGACAATTTAATTGGCCATTTTCAGTTCTAGGCTTATCCCAACTAGTGAATTAATCTCCAGGGAAAAATACCAAAATTGTCAGTAAGGACTTTTCTTGAGGACATAATTATGAGAGTAGGGAAGCAGCATAAGTTATTCAACACTGAGAAAACTCACCAATTAACTATTTTATCCTCCCAAAAGTTACTTTCCCTTTTCCTCTCCTCAGAAGCAAATGTGCAGAAGTCCTTACTTAAGTTGGAAGGTGTCATATGTAAAAGCCTACTTAAGGCCACATTCACACCACACATTTAAAGCACAACGATAACACTCTGAATTCTCATGGCTTCCCCCAAGGAATTCTGGGAGTTGTAAATGTTAAGGATGCTGGCAGTTATTAGGAGACCCCTATTCTTCTCAAAGAGCTATAATTCCCTGAGTTGCCTGTGAAGAGGGATTGACTGTTAAACCACTTTGGCTACCGTAGCTCCATGAGGGGAAAAGGGGTTTCCTAATATCTCTCAGCACCCATAACAAACTACTACCCCCATGACAGTTCCTTGGGGGAAGCCATGACAGTTAAAATGGTACCGTAGTGCTTTAAATGTATGGTGCTGGTGTGACCTGAGAGCACACAAACAGCAGAATGAAGTCATGGGACCCAACATCACTTCACCATATGCCACATATACAAGACTTTGTTCTTTATTTATCTAATGAAGAAGAACTCCATAACTCAGTGTATGGAGCAAGTGTGTTAGCCAGAGAGATGGAGATGTTCCTGACTTGTTCCTCAACACTGGTGGGGTGGGGAGGCAGTTCGTATCCTTTCCCCCTGCTGTCCCTAAATGGCACTCTTGCATGAACGACGAGGTGGGATTTGGAACAGGATGAGGAAGTGACTTGACAAATGGAGGGGGTAGGCTGTTTATAGGATGTAGCAAGAGGCCCAAAACAGGAAGGGAAGGAGACAAAAGGACCGATAATCAACCGCTTACTTTTCTTTTGTTGTCTTGTCTCTTCAAACAGCCCATACCCAGCTCACCTACACAGCAGGTCCAAGGCCTGGCCGTCTTGAATGAATAATAAACAAATCACTCTTCATAAAAATAATGCTTTCTGTGAAGCATAGATGTCAAGTTTTGAACACAAAACCAATGTGGTAGCTCAGTGGCAGAGCAACTGCTTTGCGTGTAGAAGATTCAGTCCCTGGCATTTCCAGATAAGGCTGTCAGAGATCCCTGCCTTAAGTTCTGGAGAGCCACTGGCAGGCAGTGTAGACAATGCTGAGTATATGGACCAGTGGCCTGCTTTGGTATAAGGCAGCTTCCTATGTGGTCTTAGCACTCCTCGCTTCTGAAAAAATGATGTGAGCAGCCCTAGGCGCCCTTGTGAAATTAATTGTCTCCTTCCACCACATCAGCTCCAGTTTTTGCAGGATCCCTGGCCAAGGCATCTCCTGTGCTTGCCTCTGCCTTGAGGCTGTGACTCCTCAAGGTGTTGTTGTTGTTGTTGTTGTTGTTGTTGTTGTTTAGTCGTTTAGTCGTGTCCGACTCTTAGTGACCCCATGGACCAGAGCACGCCAGGCACTCCTGTCTTCCACTGCCTCCCGCAATTTGGTCAGACTCATGTTTGTAGCTTCGAGAACACTGTCCAACCATCTCATCCTCTGTCGTCCCCTTCTCCTTGTGCCCTCCATCTTTCCCAGCATCAGGGTCTTTTCCAGGGAGTCTTCTCTTCTCATGAGGTGGCCAAAGTATTGGAGCCTCAGCTTCACGATCTGTCCTTCCAGTGAGCACTCAGGGCTGATTTCCTTCAGAATGGAGAGGTTTGATCTTCTTGCAGTCCATGGGACTCTCAAGAGTCTCCTCCAGCTCCATAATTCAAAAGCATCAATTCTTCAGCGATCAGCCTTCTTCATGGTCCAGCTTTCACTTCCATACTGGGAAAACCATAGCTTTTACTATACGGACCTTTGTTGGCAAGGTGATGTCTCTACTTTTTAAGATGCTCAAGGTAGAGCAGGTTAATGAATTCTGCAGTTTTTACACACATTAATAACCATCGCTTTCATTGCATGGGGGTTCCATTTCCTCTCCCTCTCTCTCTCTCTCTCTCTCTCTCACTCTCTCTGGCTTTCTCTAATTTTGCTTCTCTCTCTTTTGACATATCATGGGAGTGAGTGATCTATCAGGGGACTTTTGAATAGTTACCCCAGCATCCAGGGATTACTTTAGAAGTTGACTCCTCTGAAAGTATTCGTTGCTTACTGCTGCAGAATGTCATCTGTACAGCCAGGAAGCTGCTATCCAGCCAAATATGAAGCCAGCAGGATTCAATTCAAAGGAATGCTTAGCCAACTTTGGAAAATGAATAGAATTTGTGACCCAGAAACTAGAGAAGTATATAAACGAGTGGTCAGATACAGCTGTACTACATAGTGCTTTCCAGGGGGCTCTAATCTGATACATGTCATGTTTTATGTCATTTAAAAAGATATTGCTTGTTTTGCTTTCTAGATTATTTCACGAAGCAGCCAGTGAAACCGTTGACGAAAATTATCACTGCTAGTTGTTTAAGCTTTGCATAAATGTTTGGGTCCAGAATGTTTAGCTTCAGAAGTTGAGTATGTAGCTTTCCATTCCAAGTTGCAGTCGTATCGCTTCCATGTGTCTGAGAAATCCAAAAACATTTTGAGCATGCTTTGTCTGCTGCTTCCCCAGAAACTCAGTTGTGTATGTCTGCTGACTTGAGGGGGTGGGAGGTGGGGATCACATGTTTGAGATCATAAGTTATCCTCACGTGTTGGGATCCCACAAGGCTGTTCATCATGTACAGTGGCTGGAAGCAAGCCCAAAGCGAAAATGAAATGGGCAGGAGTTGATAGTACATAGCGATTCTGACATTCCTGAGCTGTTACGTGGGGTTTGCATCTCACCAGAAACCAAGAGGGCCTAGAAACTCAAATCAGCAAGCAAAGGATCACATTCCTGGTGAAGATGAGGCAACAGATCTCCTCCAGTGCTATTGTAAGGTTGCTGCTGGACTGCTCTGTGTTGCATTTTAGAACCACCGATGAGATAGTATTGTGGATACTACAGATGGGAGGCAAAAGGGGAAGGTGAAATCTGCTCACCTCTTTATGCCTTGCGTCCTTCCACTGCCATTTATTTGGCAGTAGCAACAGCAGGACTTTTCTCGATGCCAACACTCTCCATCCCAGTTGAAGTGTACAGTGGTACCTCGGGTTAAGAAGTTAATTTGTTCTGGAGGTCGGTTCTTAACTTGAAACTGTTCTTAACCTGAGGTACCACTTTAGCTAATGGGGCCTCCTACTGCCGCCGCGCCGCTGGAGCACGATTTCTGTTCTCATCCTGAAGCAAAGTTCTTAACCCGAGGTACTATTTCTGGGTTAGCAGAGTCTGTAGCCTGAAGCGTCTGTAATCCGAGGTACCACTGTACATCGGTTTCTACAAGGTGAGACACAGTGATAACAGCAAGAGACTTTATTGAGCTAATAGAACTGAACAAAAGGGGGAAAGCAACTGCTTGTATGTATTTCTGAAGGCCTGGGCCACTCTCATCGTGATTGGCTGTCTAAACCCCTAAGCTGTGAATCGCAACTCAGAGCTTAAAAGCCAATGCAAGTAGACCAAAACCTGATAATGCTATGTGATTGGATACCATGTATCAAATTAGAATACCCCCAGTGCTTTTTTTCTAAAAAAAATGTTTAGGGTACTCTCATTTTGACTCAGGAAAATCACCATTTTATAGGTCAAATCGGGGAAAATAAATACAGTGAATGGACAAAAGTACAAAGATTCACAAAATGTTTAGGGGTATGCGTAGCCCCCAGAAAAAAGCACCGAATACCCCTGAAAGCAACAATATATTGCCATCTAGTCAGGTTGGGGAAACTTTTCCAGTTCGAGGGCATCATTCCCCTATGAACAACCTGTTAGAGGCCACATGCCAGCTGTGAGGCAAAAGTGGGCAAGGCCAGAGTTGCGACTCTTTTCTTTGTAAAATCCAGTCATGCAATTGCGAGAGGTTTCTACACACAAACATACACATATCTCAGTTGTCTGTCAAGGCAAGCAAGAGGCATTACCTCACTTGAAGGATACATGGCCACTGTGGAGTTTGGTCTGGAGGAGATGTGGCCTGAGAAAGGTCCTGAGGTGTAGATAGAGAGGGCTGAGGAGCTGCATTTGGGCCCAGAGATCTCTCAGAGGAATACTTTTCTGATTGTTCTGTCAGCACAAGCATTTCCACTTGCCGGAAACAATCCCCCCCTCTCCTTCCCCCATGCACTGTTTTCCCCAACTCACAGAGCAGAATTGGGGTGCAGGAAAGGCCCTTTGCACTAGTAGGAGCCCTTGTTCTGCTTTTCACAAGCACACCAGATTAGTTGAATCCGGGCCTGAGGTTCCCTATCCCTGTCAAATAGCATCATTCATCAGTAGGACACACCGTTTATTTATTTTTAAACCACACAGAAGGCTACCAAATGACATAGCATCACTCACAGTGGCTTGGAACATCTTTGATTTTACAAAGTTACTCGTATTTTAATTTGCCCTGTTTTCCTCCCTCATAATAGCCTCGTAGCAACCCTCTAAAAAGCCATACATTGGCAGAGGGAGAGAAGTCATTTCGTTTTATAGCTGCACTCATTCATTATCCACCCGAACTGGAAATCTGGCAGACATTGCCTTGCTTCTGTCATTCTTGGCTGGTTTCGTGTATCTTGTCTTCAGTCCTGAGAACGGCAGCTTTCATCTGGGTTGCACTCTCACATACATATATTTGTACCCTGAAATTAAATGGTTTTCCTTGTTTTGGTTTATTGAAGACTCAAACCACACAACGAACAAACAAGTCGTAAATCCTTGATGGGTGTGGGGCCTCTGCCCTAGCGACCGTTTCACCACATTAGATGCAACATCACCTTTGATCGTTGCCTTAAAAACCAGGCTAAGTAGGACTCGGAAGGACACCCAGCAAGCCGCAGACTGAAAAGGAAATGGACTGAACCTCTCACTGATCTCTTCATTTGTATTTTAGGAATCTGTGGCACATCAAAAAGAAGCTTCCTTCCCCACATATTGCAACCAACAGAAAGGGTTCATTTGCAACTCTTTCAATCACAGCGTATTGGTTATTTTTCTGCATATGTGATTTAAAGCTGCAGCCTATGGGCTGTTTAAATCAACATTTCTGCTTCCGGAATATGCAGGATCTAGTGCAAAGGGAAATTGCCTTCTCATCCCAGTGGTGGGCATTGGTCTGTTCCACTGCGCAATTCATGGACAGCTGTTGCATTACTATTACCATTAATTACATTTGTATCCCACCTTTCTTCCAAAGAGCTCAAGATGGCTTACATAGTTATCCTTCCCATTTGATCCACGCAACTTCTTACTGTGAGGTCCGTTGTTGGGCTGAGGGTAAGGTCACCCAGTGAACTTCATGGATTTGAACCCTGGTCTCTCAGGTCATAGCCCAACACTCTAGTCACTATGCCACATGGCATGGTTGGGCCAATACATTTCTCTGGCATTGGCATGAAGTAGAGGATAAGGCTCTCTCTACCACTCTCTTAAGGGATGCGGGTGGCGCTGTGGTCTAAACCACAGAGCCTAGGGCTTGCCGATCAGAAGATCGGTGGTTCGAATCCCCATGATGGGGTGAGCTCCCGTTGCTCGGTCCCAGCTCCTGCCAACATAGCAGTTCGAAAACACATCAAAGTGCAAGTAGATAAATAGGTACCGCTCCAGCAAGAAGGTAAACGGCATTTCCGTGCGCTGCTCTGGTTCACTAGAAGCGGCTTAGTCATGCTGGCCACATGACCCGGAAGCTGTACGCCGGCTTCCTCGGCCAATAAAGCGAGATGAGTGCCGCAACCCCAGAGTCAGCCACGACTGGACCTAACGGTCAGGGGTCCCTTTACCTTACTACCCTCTTGCAGAGCATTGCCAGGCAGCTTTGTTTCCCAAGCATAGGATCATACTTCAATAAACCTGTTGTCTGTTGCTCTTTGTGCTACCGCAGCTGAGCCAAAGGATCAGCAGAGAGTCCTTTTGATTGCCTCTAGGCCTGCATTCAGTTATGTCCAATGAAATCAGTGGGGCTCATGCGGGTGTAACCTCCATCACAGCAGCAACAGAAAACTGGGAGTCCTGCCCTTCCCCTACCAACCGGTTTGATTTGCAGGAATGTTGTCAGTATAGAGAAATTGAAGTGAGGGTGTAAGTGCCCAGTCTTTCCCTTTTCATATATTGCTTTCGCTTGGGACAGAAGTACCTCCTGACCCGTTTCCATCTGGTCCAAACTTAGCTGCTGTTATGGTTGCTCAGAGTATATAAGAACTTATAGCCTTGTACTGAGTCAGGCTATTGGTCTTCTAGTCTAGTCTTGTATACGAGACAATTCCTCCCCAAGACCTCAGGCAGATCTCACTCCATTGACCTGATAAGCTTTTGGCTGCAAGTGCTGCAAGTTTAACCTGGAACCTTTTGCATGTGAAGAAGCTGTGGTCTATCACTAAGCTGTGGTCCTTCCTCTCTTGAGTAGCGAATGATGAGGAAGCGAAATAGCACTCACAACTTCCTGTTTCTTCTCTTCTACTGTAAACTTAGCAGTGTACCAGTAATGGGTTGTACGTGTTGATTTAAGCAGAGTCTGTCGTGCCCAGCGGAAGGATGAGCAATACGTGCTACATACTCTATATTGCTTTATTTACAGTTCAAAGCTGGTATATTACAGAAAGACATCTTGCCTCTGCAGGAGCAGAGAATGCATCCTCTCTCCTCGACAGCTCGGAGAGAATCACACAGTGAAAAACAGGAAACCAGTGTACGTCACATCCAGTCTCCCTTTCCCGTGAGAAACTCCAACAGTACAGACTGTGGAATGTAAACACCTTTCTCGTGACAAGCAAAGCTGCACAGTGAAGGAAAGCAGAAACCAACATCCTCCCCCTTTCTGTGAACATCACTGGGCAGCGTGTTTGCACAATATCAGTACAAACCCAACTTCTGCACATAGGTACAGTGTTGATCCCTTGATACAATCTTGGACAATACATCAGCAGGAATTTCATTACCTGGCATATAGGACACCGTTACGAGTCCCTTCTGAATACATTCCCTAGCATGCTGCAACTTTAATTGCAAGTGCTTTGTGCTTTGCTTACAACCTTCAGACTTCAGCAAAGCCAAACATGCTTTGTTGTCCTGGTAAACCTGGATTGGACATTTGACAGGAATTTTCATATCTTTGCACAATTGTACTAACCATTCACAATCCTTAAGTGAATAAGACAGTGCATTCAGTTCAGCTTCACAAGTACTTAAGCTAATTGTTGTTTGCTTCTTGCATGACCAATCAAACAGACTCTGATTGTACATGTAGCAAACTCCAGACGTACCTTTCCTGTCTGTAGCGTCACTTCCAAAACTTGCATCTGCAAATATCTCAAGACCACCAGACTTCTGATTGTTAAATCTCAGTCTGTAATGCATAGTGCCTTTCAAATACCGCGCTATGCGTTTCAGAGCTTTCCAATCCTTGACACTAGGATTGTTGACTTGTCTGCTTAGCAAATTACAGCTAACAGCAATGTCTGGTCTTGAACATCTGGCAATGAAGTTTAGCTTGCCTAGCACACTCCTGTACAGTGTAGTGTCAGAAAATGCTTCTTCAGTGTCATCTACCTGATAACCTGTTGTCAGCGGTGTGTCTACAGGGTTAGCATCCATCAGATTTAGTTTGCTTAACACATCAGCAATTTTCCGTGACTGGTGTACTAGAATGTTACCATCTTGATCTCTTTCTATTTCCAGAGATAGGTAGTTGTTTACCTCACCAAGATCTTTCATGTCAAAGTGCTCTTTCAGTTGAGCTAGGGCGCTATTGTACATTGCAACATCTTTCCAAAAGAATAATAAATCATCAACATAAAACAAACAGTACAGTTTCTTTTGCCCCTCCTCTTTGACAAATACACATGGATCAGCTTCCCTTGCTGAAAACCTAGAGAAAACAATACTTCAGTGAGTTTTGTGTGCCAACACCGTGCACTTTGTTTGAGACCATAAAGGGATTTCTTCAGAGCACAAACAAATCCCTGTTTTACCTGTACGCCATCAGGTGGAAGCATATAAAGTGATTCATCTAGAGATCCGTACAGAAAAGCTGTATTAATATCATGGTGACTAATGTGTAGATTTTCCTCTGCAGCTAGCTTGAGCATAAGCCTAATGCTTTCATATCTCACTGTGGGTGAATAGGTCTCGTGATAGTCTTCACCTGGTACCTGTGCAAAACCTCTGGCTACCAATCTGGCTTTGTGTCTGACTATCTTGCCATTTTGATCTGTCTTCGCTTTGAAGACCCATTTGCTTCCAAGCAGTTTCATTCCTGGAACTACTGGAACTAGCTCCCATGTTTTGTTCCTTTCTAAGGAATCAAGCTCAGCCTTCATGGCATTTAACCATGGCTCAGCTTCCTTTGAATCCAAACCCTGGATTTCTTGGAAATTTGAAGGTTCAAATACCTTCTTGGAGCTTTTAACAGTTGTTACTGCTATCTTAGCAAACTCATCAGCAAATCTCTTTGGAGGTTTGCCTTTTGTGGCTCTCTGTGACCTACGAATTAGCCTTAAGTCTTCAACACTCTCCTCTTCCTTCTTAGGAGAAAAACGACCTATTGTGAACAATGGTTCCTCTAATTCTTGATCAGAGCTTTCAGAGGGTCGCATAGAGGCTTTCGCACTTCGAAAGCCTCTGAATCACCCGATTCAGTTTCAGATTCAGACTCAGAACCTTCATCAGTGGGTGTGGGCTGTTGTGGTTGCTTTTGACTATCCTCAGTCTCATCACCGTCATCAGGATAACATTGGAAAATTCCCACATTCTCCCCCACTTTGCATTGTACTCAACACTTCTCGTGAGCTTAATTGTCTTAGAGTCAGTCATCATTATTCTGTAAGACCCTTTCTGATAACCTAGAAAGATACCATGCAATCCACGCTTGTCTAACTTGGAGTTTTGTGGTGAGCGAACCCACATGTCAGAACCAAAAATCTTCATGTGTTTGATGTATGGCTTCTTGCCAAACATCTTCTCATAGAGGTACAACCAATCGCTGAAGATAACCTGCGATTGTAACTGTAAACAAAACACGAGAGAGATTCGGCCCAATAACTCTCTGGAAGATTGGCATCATGCAGCAAGGTTTTTAACCCTTGAAGCAAAGTCTGATTTGCCCGTTCCGCAAGTCCATTCTGCCATGGCGAGCGAGGACTAGACAAATCGTGTTGAATTCCTTTCTCAGTCAGAAAAGCTTCAAACTGCTGAGAAGTGAATTCCCCCCCGCGATCACTGAAAAGAGTCTTTATCTTCTTACCATGCACATTTTCCAACCAAGCACAGAATTCCTTGAACCTAGGAAAAGCCTCCGATTTCTGCTTGAGATTGTACACATAAATATATCTAGAAAATGCATCAATGAGAACCATGAAGTATCTATTTCCACCCAAAGAGGGCGCTAGTGGTCCAACCAGATCAGCATGAACAACCTGGTATGGTTCTGTAGCTTTCCTACTAGACACCTTACCTTTCGCAGCCATTTTCACTTTGTTTGCTGCGCATGCTTTGCACTTCATGTGGTACCTGCAGGGTTTAATAGTCATACCTTCAACCAAGGCAGGCATTTTAGATACTGCCTCAAAATGCAAATGACCAAATTTTCGATGAAAATCGTGAATACATTCTGCATGCAAACTTTTGTTAGAACCTGCAATGCAACAAGTGTCATCCTGCACCACATCATCATAATACAAAACAAACAAACGATCAACATATTCTGCATGCAATACATAATCATTTTTCTTTGTGATGATGCACTTCTTGTTCTTGAAGGAAACGTCAATGTTCCGCTCATTCAGCTGTCCAACGCTGAGCAGATTATGTTTGGCGTCTGGCACGTAAAGCACATTCTGTATCGATAAGTCCAAACTGTGAAGAACAACAGTTCCGTAGCCTTTACTGGGAATAGTGTGGTCATCCGCCTGGTGAATCGCACCTTCCTGCGGTGTAAAAGACACAAACAGTTTCTTATCGTTGCACATGTGGTGGGTGGCCGCTGAATCAACAACGAAGAAAGATCTAGACGTCTTCTGGACCTCTGCAACCTTTGGAGTGAAGCGTGAAACCATAGCCTTGTGCTGCGTTGTCCTAGACACCGGACCTTTGCCTTTGCCTCGGCCTTTTCCGCGCGATGAGCTTTCGCTGCGCTGCTCTGTCTTGGCCCTGGGATGTCTGCATTCCCTCTTCATATGGCCTAGACGTCCACACGGGTAGCATTTCACTGCCTTCAAAGCTTTGGCGCCATCTGGTGGTTCCACTGCACTATGGGATGACGTCTGTGAAGACTCCCTTGCCCATGCAGCTAGCACCCCGGCGATCTGCTTCATTTAAAATCACGGCAGTAACAAAGTCCACTGTCAGCTGAGCAGTTGGTTGCACAGCAATCTGGGTTGCAACAGACTCCCAACCTGAACCCAAAGATTGTAGTATCATGAAAGAATACACAGCCTCTGGAAAGTTGAGTCCTCTCTGTTGCAGCTCATGTCTCAGATTTTGCATCTCCATTAGATGTAAACGCACATCTCCACCTTCAGCAAGAGCCATATTATGCAGCTTGTTAAAATAAAACATAGTGGATCCAGCTTCTGTCCTTAAGTGAGCCTCTCTCAGAGCGTCCCAAATTTCTCTGGCTGAGGTCTTATCACGCAACAGACAGAGCTCTTCTGGGGATACTATCAATGTAAGAGTTCCCCTTGCTTTGGAATCCTTAGCTTCCCATGCATCTGTAACTGGAACTGGGGGGGTTTCTGTAATCACTTCAAACAAACCCTCTTTCCGCAGAATTGCCTCTGCATACTGAACCCAGTCGCTGTAATTTTTCTTGTTGAGCTTAGGAATCCCACAAGCATCCTGAAGGGCCATCATGACTCTGGCATTAGCCTTCAGCGTCATATGCTGCTTTAAATCTTGCTGCGTCACTGCTGCAGCTGCCTTATCCAAAAGCACACTTAAAAGTTACTTTCGATTCCCCAGCATAGTGACTTGTGCCTGGGAGCCTTTTGCCTATTCCCGGCAAAACCGGCTTTAAAAGTTCAAAGTCCAGCCATAAAGCCATTAACTTGAAGCTGGCAGGCTGCCCGGAGCAGTAGCACATACCTCATCAATCACTTCTACGCGCAGAGCAGATTCCTTTCCGATCCGTCCCTCTGCATTCCGATCCTTTGCCGGCACTCCGATTCGACCTCTGGAGTCCATAACCACGTGTTGATTTAAGCAGAGTCTGTCGTGCCCAGCGGAAGGATGAGCAATACGTGCTACATACTCTATATTGCTTTATTTACAGTTCAAAGCTGGTATATTACAGAAAGACATCTTGCCTCTGCAGGAGCAGAGAAATGCATCCTCTCTCCTCGACAGCTCGGAGAGAATCACACAGTGAAAAACAGGAAACCAGTGTACGTCACATCCAGTCTCCCTTTCCCGTGAGAAACTCCAACAGTACAGACTGTGGAATGTAAACACCTTTCTCGTGACAAGCAAAGCTGCACAGTGAAGGAAAGCAGAAACCAACAGTGAGTACTCATGTGCTGGGTAACCATTGGACCAGGAATTGGGTAACCCTGGCCTGCAGGTGTTGTTGGACTGCAACTCCCATCATCTCCTGACTATTGGCCATTTCTCCTGGGGCTGATGGATGTTGGAGTCCAACAATATCTTCAGAGCCACAGGTTCTCTCCATCCCTGCATTAAGTTGAAGTCATCTATATGGGTGGAGGGCAGGGGGACCAACCTGTTTTGGTAGGTTTTGGAATTGCACTGTATTTTGCATATGTTTTTATTGCAGATATTGCCTCATCCAGAAATTATCTGCAAAGAGTTACGGCTCAACGCACCTAGCTTTCCTTCAAGCAAACTCCCAACTTGCACTCCTCTATTTGCATGTCTTTAAACTTATAGGCATAATGCACAACATTTATGTTATGTTTCAGTCTCATGATCCCTGTGGGACAAAACATGCATATTTAAATGTATATTTGGCTTCAGCTACTTCCTGGCTCCAGAAATAGAACAGGAGTGGCAGACGGTTTTCTGCAATGTCTTCCAATGTTCCACCCAGAGACAGGTGAATCAGCTAATTTCCGGTCTTTGTCACTTTTGCATATACAGCAGTTCATAGAATCATTAGACTAATAGAGGTTGGAAGGGACCGTGAGAGTCATCTAGTCCAACCCCCTGCAATGCAGGAATCTCAACACGCAGTCCCTCATCCAATTTGAAACTATACTTAGCTTTGCAAATGTGCTAGCGGTTTTATCGCTGCACCATTCCCATTCATGCACTGATCTGTTGCTGTTGTTGTTGAAACAAACCATTTGGGGTTGCGTTCAACGAAGCATGTCCCATCAGTGCAAGGATTTCTCCTCGTGCAGCAGAATCTTCTCCCTCTCGCCTCCCCACAAGCATTCCCCAAATCTGTTCTGGGCTTCCCCCAACACTCAACAGTAGATTTGGTAACAGGATGGGGAAGGAGAGAGGAGGGAATCCCAGTGAGCTTACACTCATCTTTATGCTAGCATGGTGTGGTGGTTAAGAGCAGTGGACTCGTAATCTGGTGAACCGGGTTCGCATCCCCGCTCCTCCACATGCAGCTGCAGGGTGACCTTGGGCCAGTCACACTTCTCTGAAGTCTCTCAGCCTCACTCACCTCACAGAGTGTTTATTGTGGGGGAGGAAGGGAAAGGAGATTGTTAGCCACTTTGAGACTCCTTAAGGGGAGTGAAAGGTGGGATATCAAGTCCAAACTCCTCCTCCTCTTCTTCTTCTTCTTCTTCTTCTTCTTCCAGCACAGATATGTCACTGAATACCGTCCACGGTAATTCACATTTAAATATGTATTTAAACACACATTTCTGAACATCTTTTCTCTCAGGATATTATTTGTGGTTGTGGTTGTTATTTTTTTATTTTATATCCTTCCCTTCCTCCCTAGGAGCTCAGGGTGGCAAGCAGATATACAATTTAAAAACAAAGCAATGTGTTAAAAAAAATGCTAAAAGCAATTACAATTGAAAGCATCTAAAAGCAGTTACAGTTAAAAACATTCTAAAGGCAATTACAATTTTAAAAATTGATTTTAAGGTTGCCAGGAGCAGCGTGCTTCAAGCACCAAATGCCTGGATTTGCAGGGATGCTTTCAAATTCTTCCTGAAAGTTAATAATGATGGAGACAGGCACACTTCTCTAGGGAGGGCATTCCCCAACTGGAGAACCATCACTGAAAAGGCCCTGCCACAGGTCAGCGACGGCACCACCACCAAGGCTTTGCCTGAGGTCAGCCTTTGCATTTTTGATCCAAGACCTGTGGCAGATCATTTTTTTATTTATGAATGTATTCATTGTATAGATGCCACATAACTGAGTTCTTTGGTCAGGTTCAATAAGTGCAAAAACTGGTGAATAACAAAGGCTATAATTCTAACCCCGCTTACCTGGAAGTGAACCCCTATGAAGTCAGTGAGGCTTAATTCGGAGTAGGATTGCTACGACATTAGTTTTGCACCTTAGCCTGAAAGGTTCTCACTGGAATTCACAAAGTTCAGGATCCTTGGCTATCCCTGGTTCCCCCATTGTTCATCTCTGACTGGACTGAGGACCACCAGGGATGAGGGAATAAACTGATCTCCTCCTGTTTACTTAATAATCCTCACACACAATGAAGCACTTCTAGTTTAATAGAAACATAAACGTGAAGTTCTTTCCTCCTCTCGTAATTATCTCTGCCCTTGATTTCCCCACCACCACCAGAGTAGTGTTAGCGCATTGTCACTTTCTTGTGATTTTTCCCCCTTCTCACATTGATGTGCAAAAAGTTACTTTATTCTGGAGAAGATAATTGTATTAGCATGTTGTTCTGTTTCTTCAGCAGCTGATGACAAGGCTGCAGTTTCATGTCTCTTCAGCCTCATTGAGCTCCCTTCTTTTTATTGCCTTTGTCTCATCTCATTGTAGACATCCTGGGATGAAAGAATCGGGTGGCCTATTGTCAAAAGATTTGAGGCTGGTGTTCTCTGTCACTTCTCTCATTAAAACATCCTCTGGTGATTTCTATTAAAAAACACTTGAAGCTGTGATCTTCAGCACCCTTAGATGAAAGGGACTTCCATTGAAATCCGTGGGATTTATGTCCAAGTAAATAAGTAGCGATGTAGAACAGTAAAAAAACCACAGCAAGAACAAAACACTCTGATATTTGTTCATATAACTAGGACGTTATATGGATCCATGTTAGATGGGGAAGAAAGCCTTGTATACAAACAAAACATATGCTCACAAGATATGTACAGTGGTACCTCTGGTTACGTACTTAATTCGTTCAGGAGGTCCGTTCTTAATCTGAAACTGTTCTTAACCTGAAGCACCACTTTAGCTAATGGGGCCTCCTGCTGCTGCCGCGCCGTCGGAGCACGATTTCTGTTCTCATCCTGAAGCAAAGTTCTTAACCTGAGGTAATATTTCTGGGTTAGCGGAGTCTGTAACCTGAAGCGTATGTAACCTGAAGCATATGTAACCTGAGGTACCACTGTATTGACCGACTGTGATGCTTCCATGATACAGATACCACAAACCAAACATCTGCCTTATATAGCAATCCTAGCCCTGCAGTTGTTGTTCAATGAATTGTATTGATGCTTCTGCTCTATAAGATGGTGGGAAAGGAGACATGACTCTGCTTTTGGGCTCAGCTACCTCACTGGCTTCCCATTGCTATTAAACGCTGTGAAATTCAGAAATGTTCACATTAGGAACATGGGAAGCTGCCTTATACTTGGTCAGAATATTGGTCCATCTAGCTGAGTGTTGTCCACACTGACTGGCAGCAGCTCTCCAGGTTTCAGGCAGGAGTCTCTCCTAGCCTAGCTGGAGATGCCGGGATTTGAACTCCAGACCTTATACTTGCAAGGCAGATGTTCTACCGCTGAAGGATGGCTGTGCGTTGGTTCTTGTGTTGTTTCAGAAAGTTTGAATTAGGTAGGTTTGCCTTTAGACGCACACTGAAATGAATCTCTCCCCCATTGCTAACCTGGAGGCCCGTGGGTTTCCCATCCCTGCTCTAGTGATGATTGCTGAGTATTCTTTCCCACTTCTCAAAGGAAGGGGGCGGTTTCTCCGGCTTTTTCTTGGAAAGAGCTCAGGCGGGCTGGCAGGGAAGGAGCTCCCTTGTTTATTTTCCAAACTTTCTTGTAGAAAGCACAGAAACGAATTGCTCACTCCCCACCACACACCTCTAATAGTTCCAGTGGCGGAGGAACCCTCTCCAGCACCCGGGGCGGGGCAGCCCGTATGGAGTGCGCATGTGCGGCAGCCCGTACAGATGCCGTGCAAGTGGGATCCCATACGGCCTGCGCATGTACGGCGACCATACGGGATGCTGCACATGTGCAGTCCATACGGGATGCCGCTCGCATGCAGCGGCCATACGGGCTGCCGCTTGCACGGTGACCGTACAGGCTGCCGCACGAACAGCATCCCGTACAGACTGTGCATGTGTGGCATCCCGTATGGACTGCGCATGCACGGCATCCCGTATGGTCGCCGTGCGAGAGGCAGCCCGTACGGTCGCCTGTACGGACGGCACACGCAAGTGGCAGCCTGAACGGACACTGCACGAGCAGTGCCCATATGGACTGTGCGTGCCCTTGGCTGCTCTACAGCTGTGGGGAGGCAGAAGGAAAGCTGGTTCTTTCTTTTTTAAAACCCAAATAGTTTTTGAGATGAGCAATGGGGAGCTCACCTAATACCATATTTCACACTGCTTTTGGTGTGTGGCACAGACATGGCAGACTCCCCTGTCCCACTGACACCTCAGAGGAGGTGCACGTTGCTTATGCTGACTCTCAGCCTGCACACTCAGCTTTTTTGGAGAGTTCCAATGAATCAGAGCAGTGAGTTGTGCTGTATAATTTCCTACACTTGCCTCCAAGCTCCTTGCATGTTCTCCCTCTCCCTCCCCCCCACCCACCTGCTGTTTTCACTGCCGCCTCGCTTCTCTTGTTTGATGAAAATGGCAACTTGCTCTATAGGGGAAAAAAGGGTAGCTGGAATTAATCTCTTCCGGAATATGCTCCTTCTGTTTGTTAATTTAGCGTGTTTATGCAACCACTTCTGCACAGATTTCTGCCTCATGGCCAAGACAGCAAAGAATGCTAGCCTGAAAATAGCCTCCTAATCCCTTCACTGCAATGTTTCCTACGCGGTGCACAGAGCTGTAGAAAGACACCCTCTTCCTCCCTAACTGGGTCTCTTGCGCTCTTTGGCAACTGATTCCATGTGGAAAGAGTTTCTAAACTGGGGATACAGCAAAGAATGGAGGTGCAGAAGAAAACACTAAGGTGTGCTGCACGGAATAAATGGTCCACTGCAATACATAAGCTGCAGTTCTGCACATACATTGGTTTAGGGTTGTGATTTAAGACACTTTTGTGTAGAAGAAGAAGAAGAAGAAGAAGAAGAAGAAAAGAGTTTGGATTTGATATCCCACTTTATCACTACCCTAAGGAGTCTCAAAGCGGCTAACATTCTCCTTTCCCTTCCTCCCCCACAACAAACACTCTGTGAGGTGAGTGGGGCTGAGGGACTTCAGAGAAGTGTGACTGGCCCAAGGTCACCCAGCAGCTGCATGTGGAGGAGCGGGGAAGCGAACCCGCTTCACCAGATTACAAGTCTACCGCTCTTAACCACTACACCACACTGGCTCTCTAGAACTGCGGTCGGGCCATGTCTTTCTGAACAGCAACTCTTTGTTACTAAGGCTTGGAGCAGTTAGGAAAGCTCTTTGTGTGTGGATCCCAGACTGGCAAAACAACTTCATTCGGTGTGCTGTTGTTGGAGCAGCAGTAGACTTTGGGCTTTTCAAATTTCAGTGGCGCCCTGTGCAACGCCAAAATTTGGCACCCCCACCCTACCCCGCCTCTCAACTTCACCCTAAGTCACTATAGTGGTCCCGCTGCGGTGACATCTCAGTTTATGTGAGTAAGAAGTGTTTCCCCACTCTGGCCTGAAACTATTAGAGTCTGCCATGGTACCACTAGGCATCTGGCTTTGGATTTTTCATTCCCAAGAAAGTTATCCACAAAGTTCAGCAATGGGCTGTGAGGCTGTGTACTGTTTGAGTTAAGTTACATACCGTTTGAAAACCTTTCTGTGCTCAGAGTGTTTTGCTCCGTATCTGTCACTTGTCCCTATGGGGCTAATACTTGCAATTTCCATTTTAAGGACAGAGGAGAGGAGGCAGGACTGATCTGGGATTTGAACTCAGGTCCATCACCCTCCATGACCCTAAGGTTTGGAATTGGCTAGATCAGTCTGGTATGGGGGCGGAAGACCATTCCACTCAGTCTATTGAATAGCATGTTGTAAATTTATGTTATGAACTGCTGTGAGATCTATGGATGGGAGGTGGTATACACATTTTAATAATAATAATCTGACAAAACTATGTCCTTGTAAGTACCACATCTGACAAGACTGAGAGTGGGAGATGGGAAGATGTTGGTGATCCCCTGTACTAGAATTTGAAGAACATGCCCTCAGCTATGTACCACCCAGCGGACATGTGTTTTCCACATGAGAACATGCACAGAACAGAACCCTCATTTTCTGCCAATCTGGGTCTAATTTTGACCGTGTCAAAAACACATTTACTTAGCAGTCATGCTACAATTAATCAAAACAATTTCCATACACACTTTCAGAGTATAAGGTTTGCTCTGTCCCTTACCCAGTTCACATCCCAACAAAAATCCAGTGAGCGATATCGTGACAGTTCCTGTTTTACACATAAGAAATGGATAGACAAGGTTGGGGGACGAGGCTTGTTACCTAAAAACAAAACAAAAGCCCTACCAAATGTGTTTAAGGCTAAGCAGCTATTAACCCCAGTTCTATGTTTCATAGGATATCCCACTGTCTTACGCTATTGCCATAGGGCAGATTACAAAGGCAGCAACACTATATCATAAAACATGCTGGCAAATACAGAAAATTTGTTTAAAACTACTGTAGGGTGATCTTAATCAGGCTCACTCAGATGTAAATCTCATTTAGTTCCAAGTAGTTTTCCTTATAATTGGAGCCTTGAAAACGTCACTCCCTTCCCTTTAGCAAAAACATAAGATTAAGCCAAATATTATCATGTCCAATGTATCTTTCACAACTTTCTGCTCATCTGATTTAGGGTTTTATGTCTCCCATAACAATTATGGAGCAAGCTTAGCATTTGGCAATCAGTAATGGACTCAGGTTCGGACCAGAATTTACCTCATGGGCATTGATTCCAGTGAACCACCAGGCATGCATCCATCTACCACCAGAACCACAATAGGCGACTATCAACTGCCGTAAGTAGGCTGCTGAAGCCATTGTGAGAGTCGTGAAAACAGGCTTTGAAATAAAAGGATTATAAAAAATATATGCTTGCACAACACCCAACCCACCAAGCCAAGCACAACCCAGCTATGTTGTGGGTCTAGCAAGACCTACCGTATTTTTCGCTCTGCAAGACGTACCAGACCATAAGATGCACCTAGTTTTTAGAGGAGGAAAAGAAGAAGAAAAATATTCTGAATCAAATGTTGTTGAAGAGGCTTTGCGCAGCTATCCCTGAAGCCAGAACAGCATAAGATGCACACACATTTTCCCTTACTTTTTAGGAGGGAAAAAGTACATCTTATAGAGCAAAAAATACGGTAAATGATGCAGGCCCCAAGTATCCTTTTTTTTTTTTTTTTGCATGGGGGGGGGCCACATGGAGTACAAACTGGTAACATGTTCCCCCTCCAACAAGCATGCCATGATTCTGTCCCTTACATATGCTAACACAAGTTATGAAAGGAAAGTTTCTATTTTAATTCTAAAATTTCATTTCTAAAATTACACCAAGGTCCACACGGTGGCTTTTCTACCACACTGCTTTTGGCTACTTTTGTTTAAAGCTTGCTGACTATTTTACAACTTTACGGTCGGTCCTCATCTGTCAGTGTTTTGATTCTTCTCATTATAATGGATCAACACAGCTGCAAACATTTCTAAATAAAATAAAATAGAGCTTTAAAACTTTATTTTTCTGGCTCCCCCCCCCCCCCGAAAAATCATGAATTGTCTCCGCAAAGTCCATTTCAATTGCAAGTTCACACTCAGTGGACAAAAAAATTCTGTGTGCTTCCTTTGAAATTCTCACATTTCACCCCCCTGCCCCAGGAAAACACCCCCCCTGCCCCAGGAAAAAAACGCTTCAGATTTCAATTTAGTCAAAGGGGGGGGTGGAGGAAATGCCTCCCAAACCCACTGGTAGGTCTGGGTTCAATGGCCCTCCAATTTTGGCTGCCTTCCTGCCTCCAGTTCTGGGACAGTAAAACCAGGATGGCTGTTAAATACTCTTGGCAAGCTGCAATCATATATACCCGGTGGGCTGTGTTAAATTTGCTGGGTCACAATTCATCCAGGCCTGCTTTAAAATATAACCTGATGGGGAGGGGTGTGTGAGAGGGATTAAATCCCTCTGTCCCTTTGGCAAATCACCTCTAAGTAATCTCAGTTTTAATAAGCGTGTCTACTGGCATAGGAAGCTATTCAGATTCATTAACAGGGAGCCTACAGATATGAGAGCCAGCCGATAGGCAGCATGTGAAACCATGCCAGGAAGTCAGTTCTGCTCTGCTACACCTTATGCCAAACAAAAATCTTAGAAGCAGCGAGAATCCTAGCTGTAATCAGTTAAGCATGCTGGGATTAGAGGGGAAAGGTGGGGAGGGCGGAATGGAAATTAAAATATTCAATAAAGGCTTGCCAGCCACAGATGGATATGGCAAATGCCAAGGCAAAAAAAGGGGGGGGGTGGAGATCTGCTTAGAGGAGCTGCAGAATAAACATCATCATGGAAAGGAAAGAATCAGAAGCTGAAAGCAAAAAAGGAAGAAGAATAGCAAATCACAAAGATTTGTGTGATGGGTGGTTGTAGGCAAATGACAAGGGCCTGTCTAATGACACAAGTGGCTGGATTCTGATTTATTATTACCATTGATGCTCTTGCTGCAATTTTTATCTGCTCCCTGTATTTTTCTGTTTATAATCGTATTGGTTTGTTTTAATTTGCATTACCATCCTGGTATCACAGTGCTTTGAAGTGGACGGGTTATAAGAAAGGAGATTCTGACTAAACATCAGGAAGAACTTTCTGACAGTAAGAGATGTTTGACAGTGGGACAGATTCCCACAAGAGGTGGTGGACTCTCCTTCCTTGGAAGTATCTAAGCAGAGGTTGGGTGGTCATCTGTCATGGATGCTTTACTTGACTTTCCTGCATAGCAGGAGGTTGGTCTGAACAGCCCTTGAGGTCCCTTCCAATTCTACAATTCTATGATTCTAAGAATTTCAGTTTCTAATGTTTCCAATATTAAGTTCAGTTCTCCACATCCGTTTGCAAAATAAAATTAACCCCTCATGAAAATTCACCAGTATTTTAGTGCCAATTTCCCCTCACACACACATTTTCATATACTCTTATGCCTAATGTACAGGGTTTTTTTGGGGGGGTGTTACAAAACAGTGTCCCCTAATAAAATGCATTTGTGTATGTTATTTTCCCTTCAGTACTCATTTCTATGCACGCTTTACCCTAGTATGCACATTTTTGTACCTGTTAGCTGGCTGGTGGGTGGCATTGCAAAATTCAGAGAAGAACAAATTTCAAAGGGGGGCTGTGGTTTGGTTCGCAGGTTGCAAATTAGATGGGGTTCACATTCAGATGCAAGCGGAATAAAATTTCTTCCCTATCCCTAGTTCTAAGGTATATGAGGCTGGTGGGGTTTGTTTTGTTTGTTTTATTCTTTGAGGTTGACAGCATTTGGGTTTTCTTCTGTCACTTATATGTTCATTGTGAATTCATTGTGAAGAGTCTCTTCCTTTAAATTCCTAGGAGTTTATCTCCGTGAAGACCTTACTTGGAAAATAAATACAACTCAGGTGGTTAAGAAAGCCCAACAGAGACTCCATCTCCTCAGAGTATTGCGAAAGAACGATGTCAATCAACATTTGATGATCTCCTTCTACCGGTCTACAATAGAAATTGTTCTTTCATACTGCATCACGGTGTGGTGCGCTGGTTTGACATCAACTGATAGGAAGTGCCTACAGAGAGTGGTGAATACAGCACAAGATATTATGGGCTGTCCCGTGAATCTGCTGGATGAAATAGCGGAAGAACGTTGCCTCAGGAGATGAGGAAAATTCTCAGGGATGATTCGCACCCTGGCCTGCACTTTCTTGATCTCCTGCCCTCGGGCAGAAGATATAGAAGCATGATTAGTCGCACCAACAGGGTAAAGAACAGCTTCTATCCGTGGGCTGTTAGGCTGCTGAATGAAAAGATAACAACAGGGCAATTGACTTTTGGGTTTGGTGGGTGTGCGTCAGTAAACGAGGGGAATTAAGGCTAAGAGAGCTGAGTGGGGGGTGCTCGTCTAATCTCTCTTTACACAAGTTGTACAAGTGACAATAAAGTATTTCAATTTCAATTCCTGTGAGAGCCCAATAGGGCTTATTTTGACTCTTTGGGCTCTGGACGTCCTGTTCTTCAGGTGATGGAGACGCTCTTGGATGGAAATACTATTACTTATTTCATTTAAAAATGTGGTACACTAGCTATGCTGTGCTTCGGGGGGCCTTTCTGTTAATCTGCCCCCCAATCCTGCCAATTCAACTGGGTTGAAGTGGAGTGTTAATTTAAAACACACACACATAACATAAAAAAAATCCCTTTTATCTGTATACGATGCTGTCCACATAGTTTAGCTCTGAGAAAATGTGCTGTTTGACAGGGGAAAGCTTGTTATGACAAATCTAGTTTACTTTATAATGCTTTCAGAAAACCACACAGAAATTGTGGTGGTGGGGACTGTGTTGATCTCCATCACTGTGACTGCCACACTGATGCTGAGGGCTGACTGAATGATTGAAACAAGTGTCGAATTGCCCTCTCGCCTTCTTCGCACAGGGACCATAACCATGCAGACTAATAACAGAGGCCCCTTTCACATGCAAGTGTACAATACAGATCCTAAAGGTCTGGAGGGGCGACTGTGAGGTCATGTCCCGTCCCGTCCCCCCTGGCCTCTTGCATGTTGAAGGATAACTTCTGAAGCAGTGAGCCTTTTCTCTTCAAAGGGGCTCCCTGCACCATTTGGAATCCTGAAAGATTTCTACAATTCTATGATTGCACAGAGAGTCTATAGAAATAGAAAAGGCCCCCAACTTCAGAGGTTATCCCTCAACACTTGAGTGGCCGGGAGAAGCCATGTGAGCCTGGTGGGGGGGCTAAATGTACACCATATGGTAGTTTAGTATCCACATTTTCATTTTGTGCATGAAGTGAGCTTCTGTCATTGGTCTATCTAGTGACATCCCTTGTCGAGCAGTTGCGAAACCAACCCTGCTAGGGTAGCTAATGGGCTAATGGGTGGAAAGAAGGAAAAATTTGGCAAGGTTCAGTCACTGAATACCTCATCTATACCAGGATGCTAGAAGTCAGGGTAAAACACAGAATTTCTATAGTCTGGTGCCACTGTTTTCAGCACCTACATAACTGAGGTAGCTGCGTAGAGCAGTACAGCTAGAAAGGAGTCCCAAATGGACTCTGTCTCTGCATCTTATTATTATTAAATAAATTTCTATACCTCATTTCATCCGAAGGGTGGTTTACAATATAATAACACAAAAATGCATGCCACAGTAAAAAACAAGCAAAACAAGGCTAGCAGGCCTTAGGTCCCATATTGAGAAGAGAGCGTGCAGTTGGGGGGGGGGTGGAAGAGGAGGGGGGTGTTAGTGGAAATGGCCACATCCTCACGCCAACTTAAACAAACTTTATATGCAAGGACAGGTAGGGTTTTATAATGCAAAGCCCTGAAAAGAAACAATTGGCAGGACCTCCACAGAATCCCCTGCTTATATTTAAAATGTTCCATTTTTAAGATGTAAAGCTTTGGCTTTGTTTGGTTTAGAAGAATTTGATCAAGCTTACACGGAGCATTCTCTAGCAACCACAATGTTTTCATTTATTGATTAACAGACTAGACTAGAGCTAATGCTGATCTAAGGCATTCAAACCGCACATCTATGTTGCATTAATAGCTTTTGAAATCTATTCCTTATGTGGAGTGGAGGAGATCCAGGGGCAACCTTAGGACTAAGAACACCACCAGCCCCGGCTTGAGCATCTGCAACTTATTATCCATGATTGTTTTTCTTCTGGCTTAGTAGCTCCAATTAAGACCAACTCATCTTCCTTTGTCTCATTTGCTGAAGATAATGAAATGCCTGCCAACAGACAGCTACACCAATCAAAGACCAATAAATGCAGAAACCTTCAACCTCTACATGAGGCCACTGGGAACGATTATCTGGAGGAAGCTGTTGTCAATATGCTGATGACACCCAATTCCATTTGTCTTCTCCCCCAAATCCATTCAGAAGAAGAGGCTCAGTTGCTTAACACGAAGCCCTGGGTAGTTGGTTGAAAACAAACAATTTATCGGAGAGATGGAGGGAATAAGGGCTGGGGTAGGAAGGGAGGGAATTAGCTGGTCTGGTGTCTTCAAAGCTGAAAACAAAAGTATTAATTTCTAACAACATTTCAGGATTCGTTGTTGCTTTTGCTACTATAGATTAGTTACAGGTAGGTAGCTGTGTTAGTCTGCCATAGTCGGGGGGGGGGGATTCCTTCCAGTAGCACCTTAGAGACCAACTAAGTGTGTTATTGCATGCATACTTAGCTCATACCAATAGCAAACTTAGTTGGTCTCTAAGGTGCTACTGGAAGGAATTTTTTTTATTTTGTTTCTACTATAGATTAATAAGGCTACCCCTCGCTTTGGTTGAATATTTCCGAGTTACCTTTTGCTGCCTCCTCCTTTTTTCCTTTTATATCATGTCTTTTAGGTTTCTAAGCCGATAGACAGAGGCCCTCTTGCTTTTAATCAACTGTATGCAAGCTGCCCTCCAGCCTTTTTAGCATGAAATGGGGACTAAATAATTTTTTTCAGAAATAAAATGTGATAGGTTTAAAGCTTGGAAGAGAGTAAAGAATTACAGGGAGTACTTTGGGCTAAAGATGTTTTGCCATTTGCACCTTATTCACTGGTGGCCATCTTGTCAGAAAAGACAGGAAAGGTGGAAGCTGTCATGGTTGTTGTTTTTTTAATTTAAAAAAACCCACTTCAAGGCCTGCCTGCTGCAATGTTGCTTATACAGTATGGGATGGCTTTTGGAGTTTGGCTGCTACAGACTGCTGCACCTTGCTTTCTAAAGGCTGTTGGAAACTGAGGACGTTACAGTGACGTATGTCATGGACTGGTTGGACGCAGAAGAATGGTGAGAGGAAGAAGGCTCAGAGCCCGGGGATTGGTGGTGAGACAATGATGAGTGGGAAGAGGGACCAGGTGGCAGATGCTGGCCTTAGGGAGTGGAGAGAGCCTGTGGCTGAGAGAAATTCAGAAGCAGAAGCAAGAGAGGAGGGAGGCCAAGAGACAGAGATGGACCAGGCTTGTGAAGAGGTATGGCAAGCTATGACAAGCTCCCCTCCCTCTTGGTCTCCCAGAACCAGGAGGGGCATGAACTGGGAGGAGCAAAGATACACACACAGGCCCAGTCTCTTATTGCTTGGGAAACACCCTGGAGAGGAGGAGACGTAGTCGGCTGTGAGGAGGCTCCATTAGTCTTGGCATAGTCTTGCTTCATGGGGATAAGACCCTTCGCAGATCCTGTTTTGCTAATAAAGAGTTAACTTCAGCTTGCCCTGTGTGATTTACTGCTGGCCCACTCCTGTCAGCATAGCAGTAAATCTGACTAGGAGGAGCTCTTTTGAATTATGGTGCTGGAGGAGACTCTTGAGAGTCCCATGGACTGCAAGAAGATCAAACCAATCCATTCTTAAGGAAATCAGCCCTGAGTGCTCACTGAAAGGACAGATCCTGAAGCTGAGGCTCCAGTACTTTGGCCACCTCACGAGAAGACTCCCTGGAAAAGACCATGATGTTGGGAAAGATGGAGGGCTCAAGGAGAAGGGGACAACAGAGGGTGAGATGGTTGGACAGTGTTCTTGAAGCTACCAGCATGAGTTTGACCAAACTGCGGGAGGCAGTGGAAGACAGGAGTGCCTGGTGTGCTCTGGTCCATGGGGTCACAAAGAGTTGGACACGACTAAACAACTAAACAACAACAAGGAGGAGGAGCTCCTCTTGAGAGTTCTCCTACCACCATCAGTCCACCATGGAGAGTCCATAGCCCAGGAGCAGTGTGTCACTGCTCTCTCGACCTGGATGAGGATGGGGCCAGGCAGGTCAATGGTGAGGCTGCGGTGTGCAGTTGTGCCAGTGAGAGGGATGGATTGGCAGTATGATCACACGACCCCAACACTGCCACAACCCCATCTAGCCCTGTCCTGGTAAACAGGAGCAATACCACCATCAGGAAGGTGTCGTCTATATCCTCACCCTGCCAACATGTGTTGGTCCTGCCACAGCCATGGCCATAATACACAGTTATTTAGACTCAGTGCAACTGTAATCCTGTGCTTTGTTTCCTGGGAATGAGTCTACCATTGCAAGCAAGGGTCCAGCTTGTAAATCACACTGAACTTTAACGAAAGATCTCCAGCTAACTGAAACGAGCTTTGGCGAAAGATCAGCTGAAACGCCAATTAGAAATGCAAATTAAAACTGCATAGAAGTGTTATCATTTAAACTGCTAGCATGTACTCGGAATTCCATCAAAGGACAAAACTATCCCACCTCTGCTTGATTATTTCCCTCCTTATCTGACTTCCTCCAAGCTAATCTGTTACAAACAAACTTAAAAGCCTCGTTATCACCTCATTCCAGGCAAAGGAGAGTCCACCAGTTGTTCTGGTGCGCCAGCAGATGATGTCATCGCTTCTGCTTTGAAAATGTCCTGTGCTTGTGCACTCCAGCATGCTGTCCTCCACTATACCACTGATGTAATCAGATAACTTCCCTTCCACTGCATTGACTTCCAGGCTCAAGATGCTGGTGCTTATCTTTAAAACCCTGTGTTGCCTGGAAACAATCTGATTTAAGAGAAGCCACTATCCTATCATCACAGTTTAAGGGCTTGGTGTAGTTTAGCAACATAGCTTATTCATCGTGACCCAGTCCTAGCTTTTGGAAGATAGCCAACATTATTCTTATTACTTAGACATGGCTTTGGGAAAGAATAGTGTTTTAAAATCTGATTTTAATACTGATGTACTTAACTGGCACATTTTGCATTTTTATTGTTCCGCTTTTTACAGGCCATTTTCTGACAGCAAATTGTTTTTAGTTGCCTTGGTCGCATATGTGGAAAGGCTGGGTTGAAATTTGGTAAATGAATAAATGAAGAGCCATATGTTGTGGAAGTGCTCAAACCAGTGTATCAGAGATTTCGGCCAAGGAAGCTCCTAAGGCTGCAAGAGATCTGAAGATCAACTGCCTGATTCCGTGACCTGAGGAAGAATTTTGTGGTACATTTTGCCAACTACACCTTGGAGTCCTTTTTTATATTTAACAAATATTTATTTCCACATTTTCTCAACCTTCTCCAACAGCAAGAGCAGTCTTTCCTCTAAATCCACACATTTGTTTCTTATTTTATAGATTAGGTATGGGGAACCTTTGGTCTTCCAAGTGTTGTTGAACCAAAACTCCCATCATCCCCAGCAAGCATGGCCAATGGCCAAGGGATGATGGGAATGGTAGTTTTATCAACATTAGAAAAAACCAAAGGTTCCCCAACCCAGTATAAATAGATCTCTTTCAGCTCAGGGTACAGGTCACCTTACCACAAACTGGTACCATTTTGGCAGGTGTGCTGTTACATCTGGTACAGTTTCAGCATCCACCCAATAATTCTTAAAGAACTCAAATGTGAAATTGCTTGTTTCTTAACAAAAAGTATGTAACGTGTCCCTGGGATCAGCCTGGAAAGTGGCTGGAAAGTGGCCAATGTAACACCAATTTTTAGAAAGGAATACAGGAAATGTATTCTGGAAATGACACTAGAAAACTAGTGGGAATTACTGTTAATTACTGTTACTGTTAATTACTCTTAATGGTTAAACAACCAAGCATATAGAAGAACAAGCCATGCTTGAAGCAAAACCAGCATGGCTTCTGCAATGGTATGTCCTGCCTCACTAACTTTTTAGATTTCTCTGAGAGTGTCTATATAGATAGAGGCAATCCAGTTGACATAGAGTACTTGGACTTTAAAAAAAGCTTTCAATAAAGCACTTCATCGAAGATTCCTGACAAAGCAGTTGTGGAATATGAGGTGAGGTTCTTCTTCTGCAGGATATTGTTAGACCGGGGATGTGGGAAATGTGGCCCTCTAAATGTTGCTGGAGTTCAACACCCATTATCCCTGGTCACTGGCCATGCTGACTGGGATGACGGGAGTTTGAGTCCAACGTCTAAAGGGCCACAAGTTAGCCACAACATACAAAAGTTTTGCTAATGCCTCATTTTTGCATAAGATGTTATCAAAAAGAGGGTGGAGATGGACATCTGTGAATTGCCAGAAGGATCACTAGGAGGCACTGTGAAAAGAGAAAGTGATATGCACCACAGAGTGGTGTAGTAGACAGGCCCACAACTTTTAATGCACAAATGAGTCATCATCACAACTTGGCTCCTCTTTCCCATCAGCCCTTGCTCTGAGCAAAGCTTAGCAGAGTCAGCGCACATTGGAACAAAAGGGGGACTTTGTATGCAGTGGCTGTTGAATAAATTGCAAGTAGCGTGGGTCTATTTTATTTTATGCAAATGTATAGCCTTGTAATACTATAACAAAAAAGGCACTCCATAACATTAACGAATTCTATCCCCCCCCCCATTATTTCAGTCGGAAGTCCCTTTTAATACATAGAGCCATTTAATTTCCACTCTGCCCTAACTCTTTGGGGTAAATCTAACTTAGGGGTTGCCAATGTTGTGCCCTTCAAATGTTGCTGGATTCCAGCTCCCATGAGTAACGTCCCAAACCACTGGCCATGTTGGCTGGGTTTGATGGGAGTTGGAGTCAAAACATCTGGGACACACCACATTGGTACCCCCTGATCTAACTGCTCGATTCTGTGCTCAAAATCATTCCTGTACGGTTTGGCATCACTCCCCAAATGCTTCGCGGCTGCTGGGATTGTTTCCAACATGAAGTAAGAACAGAAATTTTGGCACGAATTCTTTCCAGAATTAAAAGCGGATCCATCATGCTGGAGTTCGCTTCTCAACAAGGGTATGAGAGTTTTGTGCTTTCGTGTAAGGTCCCTTCACAAAACAAAACAAAAGGAAAAGAGAAGAGAAGAGAAACTAGGAGGAAAGCACAAAAGCTGATGACAGATGCTAAGCCAGAAAGCCAAAGTTAATGCAGAAAGCAGAAAGGAAGGCAGTGTGACAAACTCTCCACTGCACCATTAGATGATAAAACAAGGACTATGGAATAAGAATCCAAACTAGACACCACAGTGCAACCAACACACTTTTATAGACAAGACCCCACTGCCTTCAAATAATAACTCAGACCCAGTGGATCTGAGCCCAAACACCTGTGTCTTTTTCTAACTCATGAGGGATAACCCCTCTACTTCCACAAATGGAAAATGGCAACATGCCATCTCATAGCTCCTATGTTAGTCTAGTCACACAAGCACATTTTCTCATAACAATTTATTCCTTAGAATGCTAGGTGCAGCTTTTCAATAAAACTGAAGTACCTACATTTTCCTACTTATGCCAAATGGGAGGCTGGTTACTCCACAAAGAACCTGTTTAGCAGGGTTTGAAACTTGGGGTGGAGGGAAAGAGGGCCCTGGATAAAATATTCCTCTGTTGTCCCCTTGCCTCTGTCAGTGGTCCTCAGTGGCACCACAGTGGCTGTGGTGGTAGTGCTGCAATCAGAACCAGGCAGCTGGGTCTAGATACCATTTTAATTCCCCATAATCCCCTGGGGTGATACTAGGTCAGGGGCATTGTGGGAAATTAAAAGGGTGTCTAGACCCAGCTGTCTGATGCTTCTCAGAGTACTGGACCAACGGTGAGGGACGCACGGCAGGCATCAGAAGTGGACCTACTTCTCACCTGCACTGAGACCTTGGCAACTGCCTAAGGATGCCTTGTTGTTGTTGTTGTTATTTATTTAAAAATTATTTACAAATTATTAAAAATTTATTAAAAATTTCCAATCAAACCAAATTATATATTCCAAATTATACAAATTATCCAGTAATCAAACAATCCCAATGTTATGCCTAATTATAAATTATTATTTTAATATATATATTATTTTTAGCTGACTTCTCATGCTTTGAGATCGGAGGGAATCCTAATCATCTCATAGTTTTACTGCATTGCAAAATATTACAATAATTCCCTTAATACATTCTGCTGTTAATCCTCCATTCTTTTCAACAGCCTCTGCGTTCATTCTGCAAGTGAGTTTAAGTCCAAATAAAATGTTTCTGTGTGGATTTTATGTCTTTACCCTTCTTCTCTATAGTCCAAATCTGTAGTCCAAGATTCCCCTCTGTAAATTCACATCCTCTCTTCACAAACTGGTGTTTCTGCCCAATTAGTCCAGGAGCCTTCCACTGCAGGTAGCTGCCTTATCGACACACAGTCCCGATAAAATCAAATCATGGCGTCTGCCCAATGCTGTTCCTTAACCAGCTGCTATTCAAACATTAGCTTTTCCCAGGGAGGGAGGGTATCAAAAACTGGAAGTATCAAAAAGTAAAATGTTAGAGATTTAACCCCCCCCCCCCATAGCAATATAATTTGATTCAGCTAGCTGGTCAGTCTACTTATGGTTTCACTCCTGGCTCCTTGCTATTATTATTATTATTATTATTATTAATACCCCACCCATCTAGCTGGGTTTCCCCAACCAATCTGGGCAGTTTACAGCAGCCCTGCGGTTTAAGGAACTCAGATTGGCAGCAAGGTTTAGTAAGCACAAAATCCAGGGTAAATCTCAGGCCTGCTTCAGAACCATGTTCAGCATGCATCAACATCGAGACCTGCCTTTTGGATCTGACCTCACTGCCTTGCACAAGGCCCACTGGCATGTAGCGAAGCAAATCTAAACATGCTGCTAGATTCACTGAAGCAGCCTAAAAGAAATTTGCCCCACTTTCAGCCTCTCTTCAGAATTGTTTCTCAATAACAGCAACAAGTCCTTGGCTCCAGAGTCCTCCTCAGCAATAGCCTTCAAGAATCCCCATCTAACTTGAAAACAGAGGTCAGCCTGACTTGCCCATTTTAGAAAGCTGGAGTAGAAGGGAGCTTAACCCGCACCAGTGAAGACTGGGGCAGCGTGCTGACAAAAAGATAAAATGAAATTGCAGAGCAGGCCTTTTACCAATCCCCTTTGTAACCACAAACTGAGTAGTAACCTTGCCAGCTTCTGTCTCCTCTCCTCAAATTCCTTATCAAGCTTCTGCATTCTCAAAGTCTGCTGTGTGAATTATTTGGTATCTGTATCTGTGCAGGAAGATACATGTTGTCCTTCTCCTTGCAAAGCCCAGTCCCTAGTTTGGTCTGGAGTTGTTCTCATCCTTATCTGCCTTCTTCTTAGGCATCAAAATAATAAATGAATCTATTGCTCCACAGTTTCTTTTTCTCTTTCTTTTTAACTCCCATGTTAAATGTATATTAACGCGAATGGTGTTGAAGCTGGCACTGGCACAAAGCCTGCTGTTTTAAGCCAATCCAATGGGCAGTAAGGCCTAGTAATCACACACCGCAGGCTGGAACTGAAGCCTTACTCAAAAGCCCTCTCTGGCTGGCATTGGCTTGCCAAATTCATGCTGAATTCCTTTAGTTAGGATTGCTTGCTGACTTCCACAGGCATCTAGCAGGCTACTATGAGAACAGGGTGCTGGACTAGATGGGCCATTGGCCTCATTCAGCAGGTTCATCTTATGCCCGCTCCTTGTGTTCCTACCAGGGACCGAATCTGGGGAAAAGGCCTGCCCTGTTATGTACTGAAGTTCTCACCCTGCGCCAGCAGGGGGATACTGTAGATAGTTTTCACTCAGGTCCACATATGCAAATAAGGGATTGAAAGTGATGTTCAGTGATTGGATAGTTACAGAAAGTGGTTACTGTTGCGTTCTAGTGGAGCTCTATATAAGCAGGCTGGCTGAACCCTTCAGTTCAGTTCTGTTCTGGCCTGTGAATAAACAAGAGCTGTTTGAAGAATCGCTGTGTCGTCTGATATGTTCACCCACAACTTAACATGCCCAATACATTTTGCTGCCTGAGGTTCAATATCCAATGTTACCTGCTCCCTCCCCAAGTCAGGGTACATGGCATTCAAGGCTAGCCAAGTTGTTTGGGTACTAAGGCCACATCTGCTGCATACACGTAAAACACTTTAACAGTCACCGCTTCCCTCAAGGAATCCTGGGATTGTTGTGGTTTGTCCTTTTTTATTATATATTTATTTTGTATTTTTATGCTGCAAACCGTTCTAGGATCTTCAGATGAAGGGTGGTATACAGATTTAATTTGTTGTTGTTTTTGTTGTTGTTAGGGGACTCCCATTCCTCTCACAGACTTGCAATTCCCAGAGTTCCCTGGGAAGAAGGATTGATTGTTAAAGCACCATGGTAATTGTAGCTGTGTGTGTGTCTCCTAACAACACTCAGCACCTTAACAAACTAAACTTCCCAGAATTACTTGGGGGAAGAAGCCATGACAGTTTAACATGGTGTGATACTGCTTTAAGTGTATGGTGCTGATGGAGATTCAAAGAAGACCCACTGAAATCAAAATTAGACCTGAGGGACTTCCGGGTTAGCGCCATCGCCGAATGGCGGACTCCCTCCGAGCTCTGGAGGGAGTCTGCTCGGCAGGGGCTGGGTCCTACCGCGCCGGCGACGCGGGGACCCTTAAAAACCACGGGCACGGAGTCCGTGGACATGGGTGACTCGGCTTGCACCATTAGCGCCCTCCCGACTCGTGAAGGAGCCTTTTAAAGGCTTCGGATCGGGTGCCGGGAGTGGCGTGGTGCTTTGAGTCCACTGCTTTCCCTGCCGAGCGCAGCCGCATGCCATTCGACGGAGAGCGCTGACTTCTTCTATTGAAAATTTGGACTATTAACAACAACCCGTGAGTAATTGGGAAACCGGGTTCAAAATTTTGGATTTGGCACGAGCGGGGCGATTTAAAAGGAAGTCAATCCCCCTATTGTAAGCATTCCAAAACAAGGACTGGGTAACCAAGGTCCAAAGGGAAGTATGTCTCTGATAAAAATCATTAATTTCACGATGGGAAATTATAAGAAATGTGCTGGAGGAGAAGAGTGGAGGGTGAGAAGAAAAATGCAACCCCCCCCCTGGGAACCGGGGCGATTCGTGGAGCCTGGTGAAGAGAGACGGAGACTTTGACAGCTGTCAAAGTGGCTGTCAAAGCTGGAGAATATAAAGAGGACTTTATGAGGACCTTGCTGGTTAATTTTGCTACAATTTGCTATAATATGGATATAAACTGTTGGAAAATAAGCAACAATTTGACTTTTGGATTAGAGGATACAAAGTTATTACAATCCCCTAGAGGGGTTTCAGGATACTACAAGAACGGTCGTAAGTGGAAAAATACCCTGGGATTCGCACAGGATTTGTTATCTTCTGGGAAAGCTGCAAAACTGAAAGAGTATTTTGTCTACAGAGGAAGACAATGGAATTTTTATTGAAGAAAGAAAGGGACTGGACGTAAGTTTTTGTTCCTGAATAACAAACCTCTGCAGAGACACTAGATTTCTGAATTAGAAAGTTTTAGCAGCTGAACAGGACAAGAAACCTGAGAAAGTGAGGAATAAGAAGAATAAAGGACTGATTACGACACGGAAAGAACAACGGGAGGAGTGGTAAAGATCAAGGAAATTAAAGGCCTTTGTTAGATTGGACATTTGAAGTCAAATATTATTTAAATTAATAAACTAAAAGAAAACCGGCAAGATGGAATCGGGGAGAAATCTGGTCATGAAATGAGACTTCCAAGCTGATAATGTATAGACTGATGGACATGGGGAATTCAAACCGGGAAGGGGGGAGATTTGAAATCCAAAGGCTGTGTAACCATTTTTGAATTTTTCTATATCTCTTATTTTCTATTTCTTTACATAACTTACGCATGTTATTTTACTTTGATCGGACGTGTTTAAAAAAAAGGAATTTGTGGAAGGAACTGGGGTGGATCTTGGGGAAAATCTTTTTTCTTTTCTGTTAATGATGTGGGACGGTGGTAAGATTTGTACAATTCAATTTGGATAGTGGGTTAAACAAATTAAGCTTTAAATTTGGGAGTGAGAGCTTGTAGAACCAAATTAAGGAAAGGGGAATACAATTGGGGCGGGGGGGGAGTCCCAGAAAGTAGGGAATGAAAGTAAGGTTTTTAAATATCTTCTTTCTTTTGTCTTTTTTCTTTGTATTTTTATATTTTTGGAAACTTTAATAAATATGATTTAAAAAAAAAAACAAAATTAGACCTGAGGCACATACACCCAGTCTAAACGTTACCAGTAATGTTAAGATTTAGGATGGACACCAGAAAACTGTGGCCTTCCAGACGTTGCTAGAGCCATTGGTCATAATGGCCCAAGGTGACGGGAGTTGGATTCTAGCAGCTTCCTGGGGACCACAGGTACCCCATCGTTGATTTAGGACAATGGCTGAGGTCCCTATACCCACCCCAACAAATAGCATTGGACTACTGAATAATATGAAACACAGTTATATAACCTTCTGCCTTTGGAAAGATGCAATAGTCAACTGATTAGCCTTACGTATCACAAAGTGGGGGAAGAAATGCGGCTTCTTTGAGAAAATTGGTTGTATCCTTTGGATGCATCTGCTCTCATTATCATGGACACCATACTTGCCCTCAGCTGAAGAGGTTTATGTTTTTCTATAGCCCCTCTCTACGGATTGATTAAAAATGTGTCCCATCTATCACAGTCTAAACAAATCTTGTGCCTCTGAAGATATTATTAGTTCCTCTGTGATTATTTGGTTTACTCTACTTCCTTAAGCTATTTACAGATTTAAGCCATTGTTAATCGGTGTGTTGAATTATTGTTATTTTAATTTATTTTAATCTCTCTTTTTTTTTTAAATCTCCAGAACTGTACTATATCATCATTGTAGAACTGGAACTAAATAAGTGAAGTTTATCTTGGCTTGACTTTTTACAACTGTGGCTGGTTCTCTGGCACCTATCCCTTGTGGAAATGTATTTATGCAACTGTCAGTCCTCGTAGTTGCTGAAGATTAGATGGGAGCCCTTTCGTTACCAGAGCTTTTGTACCTGATGCGTGATAAAACCTCATTGCTACCTGCTCAGTGTAACAACAAGCACACACTTGGCATTTATATGGCACTTTGGAATGTTCTGAGGGTTGTGTTGCATTTTCTCAGTATCTTTGCAACGAGGGTCAATGGCAGCTTGTGGGTTGTATGATCCAGTGGTGTCTGTTGAACTGCCAAAAGTATCTTTTGATCCAGCAGAGGCTTTTGTCAGTAGTATGGGGAGGGGTTCAAAATTGGGAACGAGTACGACAAGGCTGTATATTGTCTCCCTGCTTATTTAACTTATATGCAGAATTCATCATGCAAAAGGCTGGACTGGATGAATCCCAAGCCGGAATTAAGATTGCCGGAAGAAATATCAACAGCCTCAGATATGTAGATGACACAACCTTGATGGCAGAAAGTGAGGAGGAATTGTTGTTGTTTAGTCGTTTAGTCGTGTCCGACTCTTCGTGACCCCATGGACCAGAGCACACCAGGCACTCCTGTCTTCAACTCCCTCCTGCAGTTTGGTCAAACTCATGCTGGTAGCTTCGAGAACACTGTCCAACCATCTCGGCCTCTGTCGTCCCCTTCTCCTTGTGCCCTCCATCTTTCCCAACATCAGGGTCTTTTCCAGGGAGTCTTCTCTTCTCATGAGGTGGCCAGAGTATTGGAGTCTCAGCTTCAGGATCTGTCTTTCCAGTGAGCACTTAGGGCTGATTTCCTTAAGAATGGATAGGTTTGATCTTCTTGCAGTCCATGGGACTCTCAAGAGTCTCCTCCAGCACCATAATTCAAAAGCATCAATTCTTTGGTGATCATGAGGGTGAAAGAGGAGAGCGCAAAATTTGGTCTGAAGCTCAACATGAACAAAACTAAGATCGTGGCCACTGGTCCCATCACCTCCTGGCAAACAGAAGGGGAAGAAATGGAGGCTGTGAGAGATTTTACTTTCTTGGGCTCCATGATCACTGCAGATGGTGACAGCAGTCACGAAATTAAAAGACGCCTGCTTCTTGGGAGAACAGCGATGACAAACCTAGACAGCATCTTAAAAAGCAGAGATATCACCTTGCCAACAAAGGTCTGTATAGTTAAAGCTATGGTTTTCCCAGTAGTGATGTATGGAAGTGGGAGCTGGACCATAAAGAAGGCAGATCGCTGAAGAATTGATGCTTTTGAATTATGGTGCTGGAGGAGACTCTTGAGAGTCCCATGGACTGCAAGAATATCAAAGTTATCCATTCTTAAGGAAAGCAGCCCTGAGTGCTTGCTGGAAGGACAGATTGTGAAGCTGAGGCTCCAATACTTTGGCCACCTCATGAGAAGAGAAGACTCCCTGGAAAAGACCCTAATGTTAGGAAAGACGGAGGGCACAAGGAGAAGGGGACGACAGAGGACGAGATGGTTGGACAGTGTTCTCGAAGCTACGAGCATGAGTTTGACCAAACTATGGGAGGCAGTGGAAGACAGAAGTGCCTGGTGTGCTCTGGTTCATGGGTTCACGAAGAGTCGGACATGACTAAACTACCAAACAACAACAACAACAATGGGGAGGGGGGCAATGTCTTCTGATTCCCCTGCCCCCCAGGTCAAGCTGTCCCAAAAGGTTCATCTGGAACTGATTTGGTGTGGGAAGGCTACAGGGGAGAAGGGGAACCGACAAAAATGGCCTCACTCCCCATTCCATTGACAAAAATCTTCACTGGATCGAAAAGCCCTCTGGGCCTGTGAGGATACCACTGGATCCAACCTAAGGGAATGGGCAGGTGTGGTCTGGTGTGTATTGTGTATGTGTATGTGTATATATGTATCAATAGATCCTAGTGCTGCATATGCACCATACATTTAAAGCACACACACCCAAAAAGAATCCCAGGAACTGCAATTTACCCCTCACAGAGACACACTTTTCAGAATTCTTAAACTATAGTTCCCAATATTTTTGAGTGGGTGGGTTTTAAATCTTTGGGGTATGAATCCTGTGTCTCTGGGTTTGTTTAATGTGGGATGCTACTCCTTTGAAAGTGTTCTGCATCAAACCTTGTTCCTTCAAGAGGCACACGTTCTTTTTCAGGTACATTTTGTCATGCAGCACAGACAGTTTTTCTCTGGAGGGTCCTTTCAAACAAGTGGCTGCCCCTGGGGGACAGTATCCTGCGGTCTTAGAAAGCGACTGTTTGAACTAGGAGTCTCTTCTAAATGTTATCAGTTTTGTGAGCTTAACAGGAGTCACAAACCATTTGAGCTCCGCACAGTTGTCTCTTTGTCTTCAGAGGAAAGGGGGCAGACAGCAAGCCCCTTCCTTACCAGCCGACCTTTTTTATATTTAGAAAATGCCCTGGTTCTGTGTTTCCCTTTTTATTAGCCAGCTCACATTTTTATAGTGACTAGAACTGACGATATGGACAAATTTTGCCTCAAAAGACATGCTCTGTTATAAATATAAACACAACCCCTAGATGAATTTAGGCATGCCAGGAGAATTTGTCTTCTGTTTAATATTCTTCCAAAACCATCTGGTATCTTACATTCATGGCCAAGAAACACAGTCATTTTATTTCTTTTAGAAGAAGATTCTGCTTCTAATCTTAGACTCTCTTGGGTACTAGTTCAGACAGAATATTTCAAGCAGTACAACAGAGCCTAACTAGAACTGGTGGGTGGTTTGTGTTAGTCTCTTAGTGATCCCAACAAAAGCAGTAGCCAAAATGCTCTCTCTTTCTTCTTTTTCCTTTCTTTAAGAAATTAGGCTGTGTTTGGGTGGGGTGCTGTACTGTTCCATTTGCTTTCCACACCCATTATTTTAAGGGTTAGCACTCCTACTTCATTAGCGTTCCACAGGAAGCCACAGCAGTGAACTCAACATCTCAAAATGGTGCCTATTGTTGTGCTCATGTTGCTTGGTTGTGGAGAATGTAACTATGCAGAGGGATGGGGAATTAAAAGGTTCATGAAGGCATGAAAAGGCACCCATAGCCTATCTCAGAATGTGACATTTTTCACTATACAGCAATAAGTAAGAGCTACAACAAAATGTTACATTGCAGAGTGCTCCTGTTCAGAGTTCTGGCCAGCCCTGTCTTGGTCGACGGTGTGCCAGCACACATCCATCCATCCATTTTCCATCCTCCCCCATCAGTATTCCATGCCCATGCAATATGCTCAGTTGTCAATGGGCTATTTCATACCCTCTGTGTGTTTGGAAATAGACTCTGTACTCCTGCAAATCTTCAAATTCCCCCAAGCAGATATCTTCCGCTCATGTCCAACTGGTACCATTTTGGCTTTCTAAGGACCCACACTCAGAGAAAGAGTTTGTTGTGAACATATGAGTTTGTGTTTAGCATATACTATGCTGTATAAACCCCATCATACACAGATCCTGGTAGCTGCAACCTAGAGAACTCCATTGTCTCTTTGTCAACAAAGCTGAAGGAAAATGTGTGGCCAAGGTTACCTTACCCCTGTCCTGTCATTCTTCCTTCTCTCCACCTGCTGGACAGGGTAGAGTTCTCATTTAGTGGCCCAGCATATGTGATGGGAGCAGACAATAAGTTAGGTAGCTCCCTCTTCCTTCGTAGCTCCAGAATTACTAAAGGTACAGAGGAGCTTCTCCAATCTGGCAACCCTTTGGAAAGGGAATTCTCTAAGGCAGGAGTGGCAGAATGTAGATCGGAATCTATTGACAGATTCCAGGTGAGCTGAAGTAGATTGGCAAAGATGCCTGAGGTATAACAATAAAGTTACCTCCAATAATATCCTGCTGAAATAGGGTGAGGTAACATGGGAATGTGTTTTCAGAGACTTTCCATTTAAAAACGTATTTCTAGAGTGCGTCCTTCGCATTACACCAGTGTACTCCGTTCAGTTTTGGTACTCAAAACAAATTCCTGCACTCAGAATTTCATTCTCACTGTGTAGTTTTTGCAACAGGCTTCAGTTGGTGGATTAAAAAACAAAACACCAAGGTAGATCCTGCAAGCCTGAAATCTGCTTTCCTCTGCTCTAAGGTATGTTCTTTAACCGTTCAAGGCATCATAGGTTAAAATGGAATTACTCCATCACTGACCTGGCTGGAATAGTAAGTTATTGCATGCTGTAAGGAGTGTTTTATGTAGGTAGGTGCGGCTTATTTCGTCAGCTGAGGCATCAGTCCTCTGCTGTGCAGGAAGTCTGCACCACAGGGTTCCTCGCTGACAAGAAAGAGGTGACATCCTACGGGAAAGCTTCAAGTTGTTTTCTTCCACAGTGACAATCTTTGAGATATAATACAACTAACACGTGCCAAACTACAAGAGCAAGTGTGCGGGAAAGAAGCAACTTGTCGGGGTTTCTGAGGTCTTAGGGTGTGAATAATTCAATGGGAACACATCAGGTTTGTCCATACCTTATGTGGGTGCAAAGGTATTGAACACACAGTGTCGCCCCATTTTCAAAGAAAGGAAAAACTCGTGTATTTAGAAGTCTGGTCCTCTTGGGCTCCATTGCTGATGGATTGTGTGCCTTTGGATGAAACATCTGACTGCTGCAGGTTTTCCATCTGAAAGAGAAAAACAAAACAGAAAACCAACCCGCCTTTCCTTATGGGCTTGCTTGAGTGATTACTATTATTTCACGCTTTATGAAATATTTGGTGTAAGAATACATAGCTCTCTGGTCTTGTATATAACCTCTACATTTCACAAGTCCTTTTCTGGCTTTCAGACAAGAAGCATCTGTTGTTCTTGCTCTTAATTGGGTACTATTTATAACTTTATTGGCAAGGACACCTGGGTCACACTCCCAAGTGCACTTGTTCCCGCAGCTTCATTACCGTGTCATGGTATAATAAGCCCATGCTTGCTTACTTGTGAGGAAACCATACTGATTTCAGAGGGACTGAACAAGCATTCTAAAAACACCTCCTGAGATAACAATAAGGATGAATGTGTGTGTGTGTGTGTGTGTGTATGTACACACATACACACATACTAGGCAGTGTTTCACAAGCTTCGGCCCCCAGCAGCTGTTGTATTACAGCTCCCATCATCCCTGACCACTGGTCCTGCTTAGGGGACTGCATGATGATGTTCTTACATTTTTGTTATATAGAGGGATATAACAGCATTGAAAAAGTATTTGAAATGAGATTGGCTAGGGTCTCCAAGGGTTGCTGCACACCAGACAAAAAATATCGCTCAGTGAAATATGAGTTGAAAGATGTAAAATTGCTGAAAAGGCAGAAATAAACTGGGAAGCATCCATAAGCTATTGCAATTCCTCCTCTGTAAGATTCTTTCTCAATAAGGCTGCAGTCCCACAGTCCATCCACACCACTGAAATCTATGGGCCATCCACATTAGCATTGATTTTAGTATTTATATAGTATGTCAGAGCAGAGACGGGCAAATGTTTCAGCCTGAGGGCCACATCTGAGTACAAAAATTGTATGGTATTCCACAAAAAGTGTTACCATCATCTCCAAGAAGGCTGGTACTGTGAATTATGAAGGGAGGAGAGCGACAGGAAGTGAATGGACATTTGTTTGTTTGCTTGCTTTACTGAAAAGGGCTCCTAAAAATAGCCTTTTCTGTATTTCAGATAACATGAGCTCTTTCTTTAGCATGTCAAACTATTATGCTTTAAAAAGCGGACACACACATATACACAAATCTTTGCAACAACCCCCAAATGCAATGTTATTTAATCAAGTATTTTTTTAAAAAGCTGCAGACCATACTACTTTTCCAACTTTGGTTGGCACATCTGTGTCGTTGGCACAGAGACACACTCTCCTCTGACTGCATGCATGAGGTTCCTGGATGCAGAGCGATTGCAAGGGTTGTCTCCCCTTGGCCTCCCATCTTTGGCAGGCAGCACAGTCCGGCAAGAGGCAGCTGGTCTCCAAAGAAGCATCTGGATTGCGCCTCCATCGCCTTGGCAACATGCCAGCTTCCTTGGGCCTGGCAACTAGATCAGTGCATCCAGAAGAAAGCCTCTGGATTGTTCTGTCCGGGGTGGTCTGCTTCCTCAGGCCAGAGGCCTAGCCAATTAGTCCAGCAGCATCTTCTCACAGTGGTCAACCAAATGGCTATGGAAAGCTTGCACACAGCAGCCATCCTCCCACTTGTGATTCCCAGCAGCTGGAATTCCAAGACAAGGTGCCTCTGACAGTGGAGGTAGTAGAGCTACCTGCCTTTCAAGGAAGGATGTTAACTTTTCCTGATCTTCTCACTGAGGAAGCCATGATAATATTCCAGAGGATGGGATGCAGGTAAAGCCACATCCACACCATATATTTAAGACCGAGACCACATAACACCAGTCTTGAAAGACCCACAATGGCTCCCAGTACGTTTCCGGGCACTATTCAAGGTGTTGGAGCTGACCTTTAAAGCCCTAAACAGCCTCAGCCCAGTATACCTGAAGGAGCGTCTCCACCCACATTGTTCTGCCTGGACACTGAGGTCCAGCGCCTTCTGGCGGTTCTCTCACTGTGAGGTTACAGGGAACCAGGCAGAGGGCCTTCTTGGTAGAGGAGCCCACCCTGTGGAATGCCCTCCTACCAGATGTCAAGGAAATAAGCAACTATATGACTTTTAGAAGACATCTGAAGGCAGCCCTGCTTAGGGAAGCTTTTAATATTTGATGAGTTATTGTAGTTTAATATTTTGCTGGAAGCCGCCCAGAGTGGCTGGGGAAACTCAGCCAGATGGGCAGGGTATAAATTATTATTATTATTATTATTATTATTATTATTATTATTATTACACTGTGGTACCACTCTATATCATCACGGTTTTGCCCTGACAATTCAGGGAGGTGTAGTTTTGTTTAGGGTGCTGAGAGTTGTTAGGAGACCCCCCTATTCCTCACACAGAGATAAAATTTACAGAGTTCCCTGCGAAGATGGATTGTTTATTAATACAGGGAGAAGGGAAGGAAGTCCCATCATGCTAGTGGTGACCCTTGTGCTGGCAGGATGTGGTAGGAATATGGCCTTTTGAATGATGACCATTGCAACTATCAGATGCTGTGAAAAATATAACACATCTTTTTAAAAAAACAAAAAAAAAAAAGACCTGACAACGTCACATTCAGCATCTCTAGAATTGGCAGGATGGAAATAGATGTTCTTTCCCCTCAGTTTTATAAGAGTGAACCACAATTCATAAATTGTGTAACAAGCTTCCCAAGCCTCCAAATTTCAATATTGTAATAAAATAAATAAATAAGTGTTTTGCTTGTTCCAATTAGTTTCTGCTCTGCTACAAGGAGCCATTTCCCACCATATAATGTAAAACAAGTACACCTATTTTGTCTGGCAAATATTGGAGGACACTGAGTTATAACTAGTCTCCAGCCTTCGGCAGACACTCACTCAAACACATGCGCTGCCCCAAATCCCTGAGCTCTATGTGGGGCCAATGAGATATAGGGGGAATGGAGAAGTGGAAGCCAGAGGCAGAAGAACTAGCTACTGGGTAAGAGTTTGGTCATAAATTAAAAACCCTTCAACCAGTGCATGATCAAAAGCTTTTGCTTGGCAGGCAGACTTTTGAAAATTAAATGTATGCCAAGAACCTGCAGGTTTTTGGCTTCCTAGCTAGGGTTGAAAATCTTGGATGCTGTAGGGTTTGCAGCGAATGCTCTGACATAATAACTGAAAATATATTTGTAAGAGATAACCCTTCCTGTAAAGATAAGACTCACTAAATTCAGAAAATAGTAGAACCTCGGAAGAAAGGAGCAAAATCTCTGTTGAATACATGATAACTAAAGGGTGTAATGCCAAGAAAATCTGGATTGTGCCCATAATTTAATAGCGCAATGCTATACATGTCCACTCAGGTTTAAGTACTCCCAAATAAGGGAGAATAAGATTGCACCCTCAAATGACCAATCCAGAGGATAACGGGGAAATACCTTTCTGTAGATTATTTTCATTGGCAGAGAGTCTGAAACAGTTCTGACTCTGTAGAGACAAAGACATTTTGCCTAGTATAACATTTCGGATGCTATATTTGCTCTCTGAAATGTACTGGGTATGTTCCGTGGTTGATAGTTAAGAGTCAGTTAGCATGAGGGCCAAATTCTGTTCTGGACAACCTCCCTAGGGCCACATACCAGAGGCAAAAGACCGTGGAGCAAGGAATGGAAATTTTGCCTTTGTACAGTGGGCAAGTTTCTATAAACACACCTACCTGTCTCTACCCTCTATTTAGGCAAGCAAGGGGCATTACCTCAGTTCACGGACATATTCCCGCTGAGCCAGTGAGGGGTAGGGCCTGGGTTGACTTACGTTGCCCATTAATTTCAGTGGGATTTAGGGCAGGTTTAAATGGTGTTTAGATCCACAAGCTGTAGAACAAATTTGTTCATTCAGATACCAAGGTATAGTGGTACCTCGGGTTACAGATGCTTCAGGTTACAGACTCCACTAACCCAGAAATAGTACCTTGGGTTAAGAACTTTGCTTCAGGATGGGAACAGAAATCGTGTGGCGGCAGTGGGAGGCTCCATTAGCTAAAGTGGTACCTCAGGTTAAGAACAGTTTCAGGTTAAGAACGGACCTCCAGAACGAATTAAGTTCTTAACCGGAGGTACCACTGTATACTCTTTAGTGAAGTGTCATATGGAGCCCGTGAAAGTCGAAACAAAGAAAACCATAGTGACATTGGTGAAGTTCTATTACAGCAAAGGAGCATTTGTTCCTGGTATTTAGGTGCTTGCTTAAAGGATCAAATCCATGCCCTCCCCAGTCTGAGGTTTTACAGAACATGGGCTGCAGCTGCATTCATGGTGCTCATTAAATTCACTGGCTCTGATCTAGCTGGCTCTGATTTGAAAGCTGAGGGACTCACCAGCTCATTGCAACCTAACATTTTTCACCACTTCTTTTCGCCACACCTAATGTTGGGAGGACAGCATTGCAAATTTGGGAAAAGTACAAATTCCACACGACAGCTACCTTCAGTTCGCTTACTGATTCGCGAAGTGAAAATTACCCGATGAATTTCTCCCCGTCTCTGCCTGGGACTGGCTCACATGCAGATCCGTTAATATATGAACCAGGTTTAAACGCTGGTGAAAATCATCGGGCAAGTTAGCTGTTACTAGCTTAAGTCTCTCTGATTTGGTGGATTTTGTCAGGATAAAAATGGCAAAACTTTTCTAGGCTGGGCCAATACGTCCAGATATTTTGAATGGATATTCAAGCAGATAGATTCGGGCTGCTCACTCGGTAATTAATCCGATCCTATAGAGTGGGAAGGATCTGGATTTCAGACCCACATAAACGAAACGTTCCTCTCTTTGTGTGTGTGTGTGTGTGTGCGTAGTGTAATGTTTGCACTAATATTATATCCAGAGCTGTCTGTAAGTAAAAACAGATCCTTCATGATAGGGAAGCTATTTGCTGAGTTGGTATTTAGGATTACGGCTCCATTCCTTCAGATGTTGCATATCTATTCACTTAGGCTGCGATTTTCCTCCGGGCGTCCCATCTGCAAAGATTCACAACGCCGAGCTGTACGAGACTTGTCTGTATATCATCCAAACTGCCAATAAAAAGTCATTCAAACCCTATACCACCCAGGAACTGGTGGCCACAGCAGGGGCTGATCTAGAATACCATTCCTCAGTTGATGGCTCTTTTAAGTGTAAGCATAAAAGTATGTTGATTAAGCCTGGAAATACAAACAACAGCAAAAGCATTTATTGTTTGACCTTTTAGCATTGAGTTTGGAGCTGGTTTTAAAGAATACAGAAGAAAAAAGCTTAGGGATTCAGATGGCCATCATTACCCTCAAAGGATGTATCTTTCCCCCCTTAACCACAGTGAAAGAAATGGGTTTGCCAATGTAGTCTTGTCACACGGCATAATATTATTTCAAAGGATTTAATGCCAAATACTGTTCCTTAAAGAAACCATCCCACTATCATATCCTTTCTCGAAAACGTTGACGCAATCCTAAAGACTTCAGTTCTAGACACTTACATGGGGGGGGGGGGAAGCACCAAGTCAACACAGCGGAAATTGTTTCTGAGTAAGCAGATAGGATTGTGCTATAAAAGTCACCATTCGCTTTACAGGCTTGGGATGAAATATTTTGGTTAGATCCTGGGGTTTCTTTCGCATGAATCTTTTTAGGTTGTCCAGGTTTCCTGTGTACTCTTCAGAATCTGGAGCAATCTGAGGATATGACCCCATTGGCCCTCTTTAATGCAATTTACAGACAATCATGCCATTATGTTTATATCTTACTTGCATTCAAATTATTTCTTTCTTGTTTAATTTGAGCCACCCAGAGAACTTTGTGATATGCCATGAATGGATGGATGGATCCTAGCCATGTCTACTCAGAAGTAAGCCTCATTGGGTCTAGTGTGATTTAGATAAGTGTGTATAGTTGCAGCTTTACTCAAATAGATACCACCAGTAATGTGTACAGCCTGATCATAACACTATATGGCCTGCTTGTGTTCAGTGTTTTGAGAGCTAGAATCAATACCTCACAGACGGCAGAAACTTTACAGTATTTCCTAGCGTCTTTTCAGATACATCATATTTCAGTTTTCCCTGCCACTTATACTTCAGTTTATTGTGGCTAGAATAAATGCAAAGTTTTCACTTGGCCATTGCAATTTCATAGGCTGTGAGTCATGTGATTGCCATGGGAACCTATTGGCTAGTGACTGTGGCATCACTGGTGAAGAACAACCATATACTCTGTTCTCATGCATGCAACGTTCTGAGAATACCAAAAGTGTTTTGATTTCCTTTTGGGGGTTGCACTGATCCAACAGAAGCCCTGAAACAGCCTTCTAAAATAAAACAAAGCACACACATTAAACCTAAGCTGCTGGATACCAGCAACTATCCCTCCCTCTCATCCCACTGGCAGTTTCCTCCCATTTCATGAACAATTTTTCTTTTCTCAGTCTCTTTAATTATTTGACATGCTGTTTTTCTTTCCAGTGCTATAGCACACTTTGGCCATGCTTGATTTTTATTTTTTTTAAAGGAAGGGGAACCTGTGATGAGGCTATTCTTCTGCAGCAAGATGATGGTGTCATCCAGGATAAATCCAGGTGCCATCCAGGATAAATCTGGGCTAGGGCAGAACACTGCTCTAGCATGAACGGTGACGGTGATGTGAAGAGGTCCTAATGTTAGTAATATTGATTTGGACAAACATTTGTGGGCTCCTTCTGGCCTGCACATTGACCCAAACCACATCTGCACCTGATTGTGAAGATGTTATCCGTCCTCTCTCCACAATAGGAGGCACTGTCCATCCAGCCTTGTGTTCTTTCCCCAACTAATTTCCCACAGGCTCACCTATTTTCTGCAGTCCCTTACCCAGAGCAGGTAACGTCAGAGCTCCACCACCGTAGACGTGGTTGACCTCCCTCAGCCTTCAAAGGCCTGCTTTCATCCCGAGCCAGGGCAGAACGCAAGAACAATGGCTTTTCAGGGAAAGTGTGCCCAACAGACTGAAGTAATTTTAAGAACGGATTGGCCTCTTTTGTATTCCCGGGGTTTATTTTAACTTGTTTGGACATGTATATTACATTAGTTACTAATAGGCTGATGTGGTTTACAAAAATTGGACCTTGCAGGGTAGCGCTAGCTAGTGGCTGCAAAGCATGTTGAGAAACATCCTGACATGCATCCAGGAACATACCTAATTCTGCCAAACATGCTTCTCGCACTCAGCTTCCAGCTGGTCTGGGCTTGTTGCTGGGGATGGGGGGGGGGGTTAACCACGGTTTGCCACATAATGACCATATGCGCAAAGTATAATAGAGTTTCTCTGCCAGTATTTGCACTAAGGCCTGCAACTCAGTGGTAAAGCATCCGTTTTGCATGCCGGGGGGCTCAGGATCAACCCCCCCTCCCCTGGTGGGGCTCGAAATATCCTTTGTCTGAAATCCTGGAGAACTGCTGCCAGTCAATATAGGCAAAATTGCATTTCCCAGGGTTTTTGCTCTCTGGGATGTCGCACGCTGTATTGTTTTTAATATTTGGTTGGAAGCTGCCCAGAGTGGCTGAGGATACCCAGCCAGATGGGCGGGGTATAAATAATAAATTATTATTATTATTATTATGCAAATTTTAAGGCACCAGGGAAGGAAGTTGGTGGTTGTTTTAATTTGCAGTCAGAAAACAACTTTTGAGGAACATGCAGCGGTATTTGCAATAAGAATAAGAATAAGAATAAGAATAAGAATAAGAATTTATTATTTGTACCCCGCCCATCTGGCTGGGTTTCCCCAGCCACTCTGGGCGGCTTCCATAGAAACCAAAAATACAGTAAAATATCACAGATTAAAAACTTCCCTGAACAGGGCTGCCTTAAGATGTCTTCTAAATGTCAGGTAGTTATTTATCGCTATGACATCTGATGGAAGGGCGTTCCACAGGGCGGGCGCCACTACCGAAAAGGCCCTCTGCCTGGTTCCCTGAACAGAGGCGGAGCTTCATGCTCCAGCACCGGGGGCGGAGAGCAGGCGGGGGTAGGGCTGGTGTGCGTCCCAGGGGTGGGGCGCACCGCCCAAAGGGGGGGGGCACCCAGCGTGGGTAGGGGGACAGCTGCAATGGAACCCCACCAGGATCGCACTGCCAAGGGCAGTGAGCTCCCCCCGCCCCCCTCTTCCTCCGCCAGTGCATCTGAACCCTGAAAGTTGTACAAGTCCATGTTCTTCAGAGCCTATAAACTTTGGTGATGTCTCTTCTTTTAAATACACAAACCCATCAGTCCTCAAGGTTCTTAAATTAATCAGCTTAAACGAGATTGTTTCCTTCATTTCACATGCTTGAAACCTTTCTCTGTCTCCCTCCCTTACATTGTCCCCACTCTGCATTTCTGTAAATGTTGTTTTATTCACAAAGGGGTTTCCCTTATTTGTGACGAACTGAAATATTTCAATAAGGAAAGATGGCTAAAGCATTGCATATCAAAGCAGTATGAGGGGTTCTGTGGGTTGAATGAATAAGACAACAAACTTTCTTATATAGACACAGACTTGGTAAAAACAAAACACTAAAAGTACACATACACCGTTTTAAAATATATCATAATTCTATTAGCCAAAGACAGACACAAACTGAGATAGAATAAATTTAACAAAATCCCTTTCCCTAGTCTTTGCTGCAGAAATGACAATTCTAGCAATTATCTCCATTATTGTTTTGTGTCAGTCAATAAGAAAGGGGGGGGGGTATTAAGAGAAAGTAGAAAACAGAATCAGACATACATGAAATTTCCAAAAAAAAATTGGCAAAAAACTCTGATTTTACAACCATTGTTTTGTTTCCTGCTAGGGAAAAAAATCAGTTGCCAGGATTGTTGATCTGGAATCATCAAGTGGCTTCTCAGTAGAATATTCAGACCTGTGGGTTGTTTTGTGGATTTATTGTGCCCTGCATCATGGGACTTGCAGTGTCCAAGTTCCTGAGCACATACAGGGTTCATAGGACAAGGCTGCGCTGGTCTTATTAACTTATCCTGCGTCCCTTCAGACATCCTCAAACATTTCAGCTGAGGTTTACTGCTAAAATCCAGTAAATCTAGGTAGCATCTGTTCTGCCAAAGTAACAGGGTTTAGTAGTGATCCTATCCGGCCGAGAAGACATAATTTGAGCATATGATTGTAATGAAAGGGATAGGAAGAGTATCTCAAGAATGGTGTCCTTCATACAAACCTGCTCAAAGCGCTTTATTCAACATTCAGTGCCCTGCCTTTCGTCCACCCACCATCAGATATATGGTTGGAGGATCCTTGGAAGGACCAGACTTCGGGAGGCCCTCAGCTCAGTGCTACCTGTGGGCTCCCCAACACACACACACACACACACACACACACACACACTATATGGTCATGCAGTCAAGCATGGATCCCATTTGAAATGGGCCACCCATTGCTAAAATGGTCGTCTGGGGGCAGGCTGAGGAGTGGCAGCATAGTTGGGTTGAGTCAGTATGAGGTAGTAGACACAGAACAGCAATTGGATCTAGCCAGGACTCCAACTTTTACTGCCAAGGAATCCACCTTGCCTCCCCTAGGGCATATCTAACTAAAATCGAAGTCCCTAAACACAGAATTGCTATTACCCTGGCTCGATGTCATGCCCTCCCCTTGGCCATCATTGAAGGCTGATACCAGAAGATTGACTACCCAGAAGACAATGCTCCTGGGACTTGGGACAAATAGAAACGTTAGAGAATGTCCTTCTCCAGTGCCTGTATAGCGGTACCTTGGGTTACATACGCTTCAGGTTACAGACTCCGCTAACCCAGAAATAGTACCTCGGGTTAAGAACTTTGCTTCAGGATGAGAACAGAAATCGTGCTCCGACGGCGTGGCAGCAGCAGGAGGCCCCATTAGCTAAAGTGGTACCTCAGGTTAAGAACAGTTTCAGGTTAAGAACGCACCCCCGGAACGAATTAAGTACTTAACCTGAGGTACCACTGTATTCCAGAGACATCCTTACTAGTCTGATTTCCCCATTACTTCATAAGTACCCAGGGTGCACAGGACAATTTTACACCTCCCTTTTGCTCTTGGATACCGATCCTGCTGCGACGTATAGTGTTGCTAGGTTCTGCACAGCAGCGCTTGAGATTCGTAGGAGGATGACCTGTGCCACAAATCAGCTTTAATGAACATATCCGAGTGTTCTGTAAATGATAGTTAAAGCCTTTATATATCAAGCTTTTGTGCTCTTCCACACTCGCCCAATGTTCCTGACCCTTCTTTTGGATTCTTTTAGCTTCTTTTAAATTCTTATAGACTTTTATATTCACCTTGTCTAAACACTTTTTAGATTTTAAATGTTGGTCTATGACCATGATAAAGATTTGCATTGAGTCAGTGTGAAAGGTAATGCAGTGCCAGCCTGACTACTGGTGCTGAGCCTGGTACTTGGGACAGGGCCTTTTCATCTTAAATCTGAAATAACCTTTCTAAGGAGGTCTATTTGGCACACAGCTGTTTGCTTTTAGACGGGCAGGGAATACAATTGTACAAGCTTTCCCTGAGCACTGCTCTTAAAAGTGTCATTTTGATCGCTGCTGCTGCTGCCTTTTAACCTGCTTTTAGTTTTAATTATGTGGCTTTATTGTGCTGCTGTTTTGTACATTATTGTAAGCCTCCTTGTGTATATTTATGAAGATGGGAAAGGAGTGCAGAAATAATAATAATAATAATAATAATAATAAAAACTTTTTAAGATGGGAATATTTTTATGTGGGTGAACAGGGGATTATTTCAATGGCTAATTTCTTTCTGCACCCCTTGAAAATAACAACAACAACATCAACATCAGCATTTTGCTTACTAATGTAAATGCTTGCTCTAAGCTTTCAGCAAGCTAAAAAGCCCAAGGAAGCATAGCTAATACATAGCACACATCTTTCGAAATAATCTGGAAATAAGATTGCAATGGATTATAATGGATTTTATTGTGCTTTTTCACATGGAGTGCCTTATGTTCCAATGGACAGGAGAAGCTATAAAAGCAATATCATTACTATTATTGTTTGAACTATCCAGGCAAACTTAGGCACTTTAAAATCCTGCTCTTCTTCAGAGCATTGTATTGTCCTTGTCATCACCAAAAGTTAATTCAGTCGAGGTTAATTCTGTACCGATATATAAACCATGTGGGATTTGCGATGGGTTGTGGAAAGTCAAAGGAGCATTCACTGGGCACGTTGGCAGTGGCAGTCAATCGTCCCTGTACAAGAACGACACTGTGAATTGCATGTCCTTCTAGTTTTTTTGTGGCATGGCTATTCTGTAGCAATAAGGTCAGCTGAAATCAACCACAATTACAGTGGTACCTTGGGTTACATACGCTTCAGGTTACAGACTCCGCTAACCCAGAAATAGTACCTTGGGTTAAGAACTTTGCTTCAGGATGAGAACAGAAATCGTGCTCCAGCGGCGCAGCAGCAGGAGAAGGCCCCATTAGCTAAAGTGGTACCTCAGGTTAAGAACAGTTTCAGGTTAAGTACGGATCTCCGGAACAAATTAAGTACTTAACCCGAGGTACCACTGTACTTACCGCATTAGTAAACTGGTTACAATGGTAACATACCATGCAGGGAGGGGGCAATCACTACTCATTTCCACATTTGTAAGGACTCGGTCATTTAGTATGGCGGCACCTGAACTTTGGAACTCCCTGCCTGTTGAGATCTAGCAGGCGCCATCACTGTACTTTTTGATGTCTGCTAAAAACATTCTCATTTAGACAAGCCTACTTAGATTCTTGGGGACGCGGGTGGCGCTGTGGGTTAAACCACAGAGCCTAGGACTTCCCAATCAGAAGGTCGGCAGTTCAAATCCCCGCGATGGGGTGAGCTCCCGTTGCTCGGTCCCTGCTCCTGCCAACCTAGCAGTTGAAAAGCACCTTTCAAGTAGATAAATAGGTACCGCTCCGGCGGGAAGGTAAACGGTGTTTCCATGCACTGCTCCGGTTCGACAGAAGTGGTTTAGTCCTGCTGGCCACATGACCCGGAAGCTGTACACCGGCTCCCTCGGCCAATAAAGCGAGATGAGCGCTGCAACCCCAGAGTCGGTCACGACTGGACCTAATGGTCAGGGGTCCCTTTACCTTTACCTGCTTAGATTCTTAGGAAGTTGAGATAATTTTAATCCGTTTTAGTATTTTCAACTTAGTGTGTTTCTAAGTATGGTTGTGAATTTTTCTTGATTTTCTTGATTTGTCTTTTTGTAAACTGAGGTTGTTGGGGGGTTTTTAACAGTCAAGTGGAGTATAATTTTAATGAAATAGATAGATTATGGTTTCTCCATGTTTCCAACTTCGGTTCTCCATATTTCCACACCAATTCGCATTTTTAAAAGTCCTCTAGAAAATGCAACAGCCTTTTGGCGCTATTTTTCCCAATACATACATTTTCCAATGCTATTTCCCCTAATATGCATTCACTAATGTATGCATTCTAATGCACTCCTTGCCCTACATGCATTATTGTGCATGTTACCTAGCAGGAGAACTGCACTGTAAAATTCAAAGTGCAAATTTTGAAAGGTAGCTGTGCTATGGTTCCCATATTGTCTTGGAAGATGCAGATTTGGTAGCTTCTCTTTGAATTGAAATGAATTTCTCCCCTATCCCCAATGGCTTTTTTCAGCCAGAACTCAAGGGAACTCAATTCCAGCACTTCTCAGGCGGGCTCCATTGCCATTTTAAGAGAACAAGGGAGGTGTTCATGGTGAGTTCTGGCACCTCTTTTTCTAGAGAAATAGCACTGTAGTGTGTGTGTGTGTGCGCGCGCGCGCGATAAAAATATAGATAAAAACCTTGTTACATTAATTTACTGACCTCCCTTAACCCGACAGATTTACCTAAACTCTGCGTAGTGCAACTTGGATTATTTACTAGAAAAAACAAATACCCTAGCTTGGGACTGAATGCTGCTTCTTCTCATTGTATTTTATTCGCTGCTTTTATTTTCTTCCATTTACTGCCCACCCCCACCCCCCGCATTAAGTTTACCACGGAGAGCAGAGGGTCAAATACCCTTGCTTGAAATGGCTGGTGGAAACCGTTTCCCAGAAGGGCAAATTTCAGCAAATGAGGTTTTCTCCCCTCAGGCCTGCTCTACAAGATGAGAAACCTATGAATAGGACCCTTGTCCTGCATTGAAGCTGCAAACCTTATCAAACCACACCTGCTCAACTTGTGACCTATACGCAACTCACCAGAATTGTGTTGCTGGGCTACGGGGTCTGTCTAGTGCTTGATGACCCTATTGTTGTTTTTCCAGCTTAGGCAGGTAGAAAAAGCAAGCCATTGACTGGGTCCGTAATATTAGGGTATTTAGAGCCTGTTCACCCATTTCTTGCCTGAAAGGGCAACGTGGGGGTGTGTGTGTGTGTGTGTGTGAGGCGTTTAGTCCTGTCTCCAAGGTTACATGGCTCCACCCAACCTCTCCCATGTTGAGGCTTAATTTTTCGAGGGCACCTTTTCTATCCACATGGGCTCCCCATGTGATTTAGGACTCTGATCTTTCAAGGGTCTAAATCACACAGGGAATCTGTTAAAATAGCAAAAAATGTATAGAACAAGTTCTAATAAGCGTTGGAAGTGTAAAGAGAAAGAAGGCACGTTTTACCACATGTGGTGGAATTGTAAAGTAATCAAAAGCTATTGGGAAATGATTTATAATGAAATGAAAAAAAAATGTTTAAGATAATTTTTGGGAAAAGACCGAAAGCTTTTCTGTTAGTCATTACAGGCCAAGACTTGCCAAAAGAATGGAAGAAACTCTTTATGTACGCTACAGCAGCGGCTAGGATGCTACTAGCCTCCAAATGGAAAGACGACAAGATACCAACCAAAGAAGAATGGCAAGAAAAGCTGATGGAATACGCTGAAATGGTGAAACTTACTGGGAAACTAAGAGACAAGGACAACAGAGACTTTAAAAAGGACTCTGTTTATGGTGAATCTACAGAAACATTGCAAAGAAGTGGACTCACAAGCAGGGTTTGAGTAAACACTTACAATTAAGAAAATAAACAAAAAAAGTTAAGAGACAATAAAGGGGTAAATAATAAAACATAAGATGTGACTTGGGAAATAGGGCATAAAAATCATAAGAATATAACAATATTTAATTAAAAGATTACAAAATTAATGTACAACAAATTAGGCAGGACAAGCAATATTTAAAGAACAAGAAGGGGAAGCTGAGGGAAGCCATGGGAGGGGGTTCTATATATGTTATATGTGATAATGATTTTGTTGAAAATAAAATTGAAAACTTAATAAATATATATAAAATCACACAGGGAATCTACACAGAGAGGAAGGTTCCCCACCTTGGAAGTTAACCCTCAACAATATGAGGTGGGTAGAGGAGCTGTGACCCCACCACCACCATTTTGTGTCCATGTTGCCCCTTCGCACAAGTAACACGAGAAGAGGGTTTTTAACAAGCCAAACTCCTAGTCATGTTCACACCATGCATTTTAAAACACTCTACTGTCAAAGGGGGACAAAGGGTTTAGCCAGAAGTTCCCAAGATGATCTCTAGCAAGATGCTTCTAGTATAACCAAGCCTTTGTCAACCCAAGCACTTGCTGGATGGCTGGAGGAAGATATAGTCCCGGCTTACGCAAACTCGGCCTTCCAGATGTTTTAGGACTACATCTCCCATCATCTTTAACTAGCAGGACCAGTGGTCAGGGATGATAGAAATTGTAGTCCCAAAACATCTGGAGGGCAGAGTTTGCCTATGCCGGCTGTAGTTCAAACTCTTTGGTGAGGCAGGTCTAACCCACTTTACAGAACTGTTGTGAGGATGACAAATATATATATACTACCCCCCCCCCGAAAAATGTGAGAAAGAAAATAATCAGCATGTTTCAGCTTTAGTTATTAAAACTGAAAGTCGGTTGATTTTGAAGGGTCTTTGCAGTGCTATCCTCATTTAAGGGGGATTAGTACAGTACCCAATCCCACACACAAGCCACACTTCCACATTATACAGTGGTACCTCAGGTTACATACGCTTCAAGTTACAGACTCTGCTAACCCAGAAATAGTACCTCGGGTTAAGAACGTTGCTTCAGGATGAGAACAGAAATCGTGTTCCGGCAGCGCGGCAGCAGAAGTCCCCATTAGCTAAAGTGGTGCTTCAGGTTAAGAACAGTTTCAGGTTAAGAATATACCTCCAGAACGAACGAACCTGAGGTACCACTGTACTGTACTACAAGTCATACTTTAATTCAGGCATAGGCAAACTTGGCCCTCCAGCTGTTTTGGGACTACAACTCCCATCACCCCTAGCTAACAGGACCAGTGGTCAGGGATGATGGGAGTTGTAGTCCCAACACATCTAGAGGGCTGAGTTTGCCTATGCCTGCTTTAACTCATCATTAACTACCATTCTGTATTATTCTGGTTTGAGTGGCATCACCTTGGTGTTCCACTGGTGCCATATGTTGATTGGCCAGTGGGAGCTGTCGCCAGCTTTTGATTGGTGTCACACATGTATTGGTATTGTGGTGATATCATCAGCATATGCCATGATAGCAATAGCTGGGGGTGGCTGTCATTTTTCATTGTACCGCCCCCCCTTTTCTTTTTGCTGCTGCTGCTGTTTCCTGTGCTTTAGACACAGCTTGGAGAACCTCAGGGTCCCTAGTAGTTAAATCACTGTAGGTTCCTATATAATGGCAGCACCTAGCTGGGCCATAGAATCACCCTATCAAGCGTGAACTTTGACTTCCTTTGAATTATGCAACTCATGTTGTGGAAGTTTACTCCGGAGTAAATCACAATGAATGGGGCTTACTTCCAAGGAAGTTTATCTTGTTATAAATAAAGCTTTACTTTGCAAGAGGTTTCACCAAGAAAAACTAACAACAAAAAAATCCAAATAAGCAGCGAATAAACAAAAAACCAAGGGAGAAAGGTAAGATTCTTGTGGCTGGTGACCTCCCCCCCCCCTTCTTTCTCTCTCAGTATCAAAGGAAGCGACAAAGGGTTTTTCCACACTCCATAAAGTGTTAATAATGCGCGCGATTGTTCCAGATTAACTCTCAGTCCAGGGAACGATAAATAGGTGCGAAGCTTGCCTGCTGCCGCCTATACTTTTCAAAGTAGCTTCCTCCTTCCTTTTGGAAGAAAACAAATTATAGAGAAGGGGAGTAATTCAAGCGGGCAGTTTTGGCTTTCAGCAGACAGGGGTGGAGAGAGAGAGAGAGTGAGTGACGAAGGAGGAGTGCACAAAAGGAAACCGAAGAGCGGGCCACTAAAAACTTTTTGTGGAAATGATTATATTGTGCCACATTTATTGGCAGTCCTGGCTGCAGAATTCAGCCGCCACCACCCCCAACCCCGGCCCTGATCGCTCTTCCAAAAGCTTAAGATCTCGGATCTCTCGTGCCTTTTGGGCTCGGTTTCGGAAGGAGGCCCAGCCCTTTCGATTTCCACCCGAACCTGCAAGAACCAACGTTTCATTTGGAAAGGCGAATCCCAGAGCCCCGCTGCGGGACACTCTTCTCGCAAGTAACGCGGGGGACACGGACGCACGCACGCAACCAACTCCTTCTCTCTCAATCCCCTCCTTAAAGGGAGGCGGGATCTCCGGGCATTTGATCTCTGCGATCCCGCCCCTACTCCGGTATCCTAAAGTGGTTCCCAAGCACTCTCTAGTCCGGCAGGCAAACGGGGGGGAGAGGGAGAGAGGGGTGGGTGGGAGAGCAAAGGAGGCAGCCCACCAAAAGTGCAGCGGCGTCTTTCCCGCCCCCCCCCCCCGCACGCCAGCCCCTCTTCCCTGCACTATGGTGCACCCGATCCACCGCGCTCGAGTCTTTCCGCTCCTGCCGATCAACAACTCTCCAGAGCGGGCAGTGGTGGCCACAGCAGAAAGCGACTCGGATCGGAGGGATCCCCACGTTTAATAAAAGTGAAGTTGCGGGAGGTGGAGGAGGAGGAGGGAGGGAGGGAAGAAGGAGAGAGGGAGGGAGGAGGGGAGGCAGCCAAGGAGAGTGGGGGAAAAAGCTCTCTCTGAAGTTTTGGCTCCAACACCCCCCCCCCGCTCTCCTCGCTCCCCCCCACCCCACCTCCAAGCAGCAAGAAGGCGAAAGAAGGGGACGAAACGGGGGTGTGGAAAGGCTGACCCGCTGCAACGGAGCGGCACAAACCACCATGCAGCTTGTGTTATGGGCAGTGGGATTAAGCACGCTCTTCCTGCAAGACTTCTTGAATGTAGCCGGTGCAGCAGCAAGGAAGGAAAGGTTGCATCTGAGACAAGGTAAGATACAGCAGCGCCTGAAATAATTTCTTTTTTAAAAAAATAAAATAAAAATAATTTTCTTTTCCTTTTTAAGTTTGGCATTGCTTTGCTCGTGGCGGGGTGGGCTGAAGGGGGTGTCACGCTTTTCTTTTCAACGCGGGGAGGCAAATCTGCAAAGCGCAGAAAGCGTTCCTAAGCAATTGGAGCTCCAGACGTATCCAGTCTGCTAGCAGCTCCGCCTACAAATATATGTATGCTGTGCTTAAGATTTCGAAACACTTGCAGCCCCGCAACATTGCTGTCGGTAGTTCAGCCTGCTTTGCTTTTCTCTTTCGCTGCCTGTGGCTGGAAAGCAGCCTCCCTAAACATTTTTTTACTAAAAAAACCAAAAACCTAAAACTCCAGCACTTGTGCCATGTGTACTTCTGCTGCAAACAGCTGGACATTTCTGTTGGCTCTTTTTGTGCTCAGTGTTTAAAGGCAAAACTTTTGCATTGGGGAGGGCGGGGGGGGGGGAAGGGAGCTCCTGTTAGCAAACCTGTTAATTCGCTCACCTCCTGAACGTTTCCTTGGGCTGAACTGAACTGCTTGGCTCAGCCTCAGAAGGATGCTGTTTGCAGTGGCCCAGAACTAAGTGCTTTCTTTCCAGAGCCGCATAGGGTTTTAGGAGATGTCAACCTTGCGGTGCACATACATTCATATATACCTGTGTGCATTTTGCGGTGGTTAAGGAATTTTATGTCCCGTTTGTGCAGTTGCTGCCGAGTGCATGTGCTGTTCGCAGTGCTTAGCATGGTTACATAAGAGCGGAAAGTTTTTCCCCCCCTCACAGGCAGCCTCTGCCCTATTGCTCTAAACCGCCAGCCTCCTTTACCTTTGTGAGCGTTTGCAGAATGCACATCAGTTAGTTCAAGTGAATGAGGCAAGGGAGATCTTAAAACTCTTGAGAAAGATGGGCAGTGTTCAGAAAAAGCACCTTCCACAGTCACTTACTGTGTCTTTCCCACAGATAAGGAAATGGCCCCTCTATGGGGCAGTTGCTGGTTTCCCTTGGTGCTGGATTTCTCACAGTCCCACGGGGTGGAAATAATATTGTATAGTGCACAGACGCGCACACTTGCATCCGCTCACAGGGGATCTGTTTTGTTCCCTCTCGACAGCTAAACTGCTGGAGACTCTGAGTGAGTACGAGATAGTGACCCCCACCCGGGTGAATGAGTTTGGAGAGCCCTTCCCTCCCAAGGTCCACTTTCGAAGGAAGAAGCGGAGTCTCCATTTGGACGCTGAGGCCTGGGGCCCGGTTGCTACCTCCTCCTCCTCCCCATCTTCCAGTGCCGTCCAAGCGCACTATAGGCTCACAGCCTTTGGGCAACACTTCTTTTTCAACCTTACAGCCCATTCGGGATTTATTGCTCCTCTCTTCACTGTCAGCCTCCTGGGAGTACCTGAGGTTAACCAAACAAACTTTTACACCGAGGAGGAGGAAAGTGACATTAAGCACTGTTTCTACAAAGGACATGTCAACACCGAGCCCCGGCACACAGCAGTCATCAGCCTCTGTTCTGGGATGGTAAGTTAAGTGGCCTTCCTTGCTGGTCTTGGCTGTGGATGGAGTTTTGCTGTCACAAGATGGACAGCCCCTCTTGTTGTTTATAGGGGCAGGGGTGGGGTGGAAGGAATTCATTCTCAGCCCTTGATTCTGAACCACATTTGGGGATGCTTGGGATTATGTCACACTTTTTTTTAAACATCCTTGCCCTGTGGCTCTGTTGGAACCTGTCTGCATGTAGGAGGAGTGCTGAAGCTAAAGATAAGGCTTTTAAACAAAGCAAAACTCCTGTTTGTTAAAAGTTGTTTGCAGATGGATATCAGAACTGGCTGCTTTCCTTCCTTCAGCATCTCTCCCTCCCCCCCCACCTTATTTACAAAGCACTCTTTTTAAAAAAAGCGATACAAAAGTTAAGGAATTGCCATTGTGTTCAGAGGCTAGAGCAGTAGATCAAAAATCAAAGGATTCACTTTTGAGGAGAGCTCGTTTTGATTGATGGGGAAGAGGGAAAAGCAATGCGGGGAGGGAGAAAGGAGGGTTGGGGGGGGCAAGGATCTGCCAGGAACAAGCAGTGATCATTAGCAAATTCTGGGGTTTTTTTCTCCCAAAGGTCATTAGAGCCAAGTCCTTCTCTCCCTCCTATTCCCATTGACAAACACATGAGCAGTGTCCAGCCAAGGAGACTTAACAGGGGAACTGCAGGGCTCTGACGTGAGGCTGGGATTGCGATGGGAGAGGAAGCTGGGAGGTGGGGTTACCCCAGGCAGCTTTTTGGAGGAGGGGGCAGATGGGTGGGTTTGGTGGGAGGAGGATTCGCAGTCAGAAGAACCCCAAACAAGGGTGGTGCTCTGAGCCCGAGAGCCATTTAAGGTGGAAGGAGACAAATAGAAGCAGCGTGTGTTTTCCCCTTTTCTTCCCCCCTCGCTCCCCCTAGGGACGAAAGTTTACTGCTCTACAGCTCTGCAACTTGGAAGTTTCTTGAAAAGTGTCCTTAAAGCCGGCAGGGCTCCTCTCTAGTTTAACAGGTCTTAAGTTGAAAAGCATGGCATGGTGTCAGACAGTGTGCGCAGTTCTTGCTAAGGAAGCCTGCCCAAGGATGGGGGTATATAGTCAGGATAGATACTGCTACTTTGATCCAGTAGGTGGGTTTGCGGGAAGAGTGGTACGGTTCCCAGCTTTCAGAGCACCAAAAGAGTAATTTGATTAAGCTGTCATTTCCCCACTTGGAAGAAGTCCTGTTTTAAGAAGTTGTACGAAAGCTTTGGGTCCTGCTGTCAAAACCTGACGCTCATCAGCTTTCTGTCCCAGTTGCAAGGGGAAGAAAAAAGATGAGAGGTTTTGCTTTTCTCCCCCCTCCCCAATCCCCCCCTCTGTTCCAGAGAGAGAGAGAGGTGCAAGCAGCTAAGTTTTAGTCATACTTACCAGGCAGAACTGTCCTGGTGTTGGGGTTGCCTGGGGCAGTGCCCCACAGGTGTACATCAGAGGTGGGAAAGGGATGCAGTGACAGGTAGCCCGTTTTCTCCCCCCGCAAAACCATGCTCCTTTCCTCCAAGATTCTGCTTGCGCAGTTGTAGTAAACCTCTGTGCCATTGTTGTTGTGATGTTCTGATGCTTAGGGGGCGGAGGCAGTGGAGGGGAGGGAGGGCCCAGGGCTCTGCGGAAAGAGCCACCAGGGGGTGGGAGCGTGTTCTGCCAGCCCTCTAGACAAGCATGGCTTACCAGAAGAGGAGGGGAAATAACACTCATTTTCCTAACTGAGCTCAGGCACTGTGCTTTCCTACTGGGATCGACCTTAAGGGAGTCCAGGAACTTCCCAGCCTCTTCAGCCCGCTGGAAACTTAAGGTGGAAAGGCAAGGAAGACGTCAAGAGAGATCTTCCCTCCACAAGCCCCTGTGGGGAATGGTGGGAATGGGACCGAGCAGGGCCCTGTTTGTAATTTGATTGGGTCTGTAAGAGGGGCCACCTCTGCAGCGAGTGTCTTTAAGTGCTCCTGAGATGTGATCTCTTGTGCCACCTCCCATCTTGATCGTGTTTGAGAGATCCAGGATGATAACCTACAAATAAGACGTCCGACAAAGCTGCAGGTTGAAAGGTTTGGGACTGATGAAGCGAAGTGCTTCTTCACTCAGTGCATATGGAACTCCCTCCAGAAGGAGGCAGTGATGATGGCCACCAACTTGGATGGCTTTAAAAGAGGTTTCTTTCAGATGAATTCATGGAGAAGAGGGCTCTGATGGCTCTGCTGAGCCTCCACGGATGGGGGCAGTAGTTCCACTTGCTGGAAACCGTAGGAGGGGAGAGTGCTCTTGTGTTCGAATCCTGGCTTCCCACAGGCATCCAGTTGGCCACTGTGAGAACAGGATGCTTGCACTGGATGATCCAACAGGCTCTTCTTGGCTCTTTCTTAGCTTCTTATAGAAATCCAGCCTGAGAAAAGAGACGTTTCTCTCTCAGTTCACTGATCCATGCCCAGTGCTGCCGGTTAGTCCAGAAAAAGCGGTAGTCCCCACCTCCGTCCAAGAATACATAAATACCTCAAGGTGCAGCTTGTGGCCGGGGAGAACTCTGTGAAAAAGCAGAACATCTGAGAAATTCCCCCCTGCTGGCTTGCTCATTTGATTGCACCACAGTGGTAGAGTTAGTGTGTGGTTTGCACAATTTTTTAAATAGTTCAAGGAGTCAAAGAGCAGGACAAAGTCATTTGCTTACCACTTCATTGTGGTACCTAAGATTCTTTCTGGCCATTGAGTTTATATTCAAGGAGTTGCAAGTGGATGTTGTTCCTCTGCGGCCGGGGTGGGGAACTGGTGTGGTCTCCAGATGCTGGTGGACCCCAACTCCCATCAACCCCAGCTAGCGTGACCAGTTGTTGGGGATGATGGGAGTTGCAGTTCAGCAATGTCCAGAGGCATGCAGTTTCATCATCCCTGCTTTGCAGGCCTTCAAACATGTCACGTAGTATTCACCTTAAGGAATCTTGGGAAAGAGCCGACGATGCAAAGCAAATACTGTACATGCCATGTGTACCAAAGCCACCCAAATGTCATGCAAATGCAGCCTTTGCGCAAATTCCCATTCTTAGCAGGAGTTTAGAAACAGAGTGGCCAGATGTTTTCATATGTTTTGGAAGCCACCCAGAGTGGCGGGGCAACCCAGCCAGATGGGTGGGTTATAAATAATAAAATGATGACGATGATGATGATGCAAGCCTTGCCTGTTGGAATCCCTTCTTCTGCAAACCTCTGAAAGGTAAGGAGTCCTGTCCTCTTTTGCCCCCTTCTGCCCTGTTTCAGAGTCTTTGAATGAATCTTCTCCCACCTCGGCACAGCTCTGTCGGAAGCTTCATTTCTTCTCATTATTTTCATTCCTTCTCAGCTCGGCACGTTCAGGTCTCATGATGGAGAGTATTTTGTAGAGCCACTGATACCGCCTGACCAGCAAGAGTATGCAGAAGAGCACAAAAAGCCACACGTGGTCTACAGACACAGCGTACCTCCGACAGCCCTGCCAAGGGACAAGCAGACTTGCGACACTTCAGGTAATCCCATATTTTGCTTTCCCCTGACCTTTAGCATTGAGTTTGCAGGAGGTAAGAATAATTTTGAAACCATCCAAGATAGCCCACGAGGATTGGAATCCTAAATCGGGGATGAAGAACTGATGGATGTGGGCTGCTTACTTTCTAAGAATATCTCCCTGGAATGGATAACCTAGTCCCGTTGCTCATTTGAGTTTGCTTTGGGCTCTAGCTTTATTGATTGCCCCAAGGCAAAGCTCAGCTCCTTTCAGGTCTACCTTTCATCTCTTGTGCTTGAATTTTCCCCTTTTTGTTTCGCACTGCTTGTGGAGCTGTGCCCCTTTTCTCCTTCAAACTACAAGGGCACAATATTGCATGAAACTCAGTCCATAATGCCCTGAGGCAGGAGGGAAGGGGAGAGCTCCTTCGGCCTTCTCTCTCATAGTGTTTGTGCACAAATACATTTACTTATAATGTAAGTAAGGGATGCGGGTGGTGCTGTGGTCTAAACCACTGAGCCTCATGGGCTTGCCAACAGAAGGTTGGCGGTTCAAATCCGCACAACAGGGTGAGCTCCCCTTGCTCTGTCCAAGCTCCTGCCTACCTAGCAGTTTGAAAGCACACCGGTGCAAGTAGATAAATAGGTACCGCTCTGGCAGGAAGGTAAACGGTGTTTCCATGTGCTCTGGTTTCTGTCACGGTGTTCTGTTGTGCCAGAAGTGGTTTCATCATGCTGGCCACATGAATCGGAAAGCTGTCTGTGGACAAACGCCGGCTCCCTCTGCCTGAAAGCAAAATGAGCGCCACAACCCCATAGTCGCCTTTGACTGGACTTAACCGTCCAGGGGTCCTTTACCTTTATGTTACATTTACTTATAAGAATAAATACATAAATAAATTTATTTATGACCCTTGGTGTCCCTTCCAACTTTCCAACTCTATGATACATGCTTAAAACTGAAGATACAGTTAATGCATTGCAGGCTGGTGTTGCTACTTTCATTAACATAAGAACGTAAGGAGAGCCCGGCCTCCAACAGTGGAGATACATCATAGCTATGGTGGGCTCTTGATTGCCTTACTTTCTTTTGCCTTTTGTTCTTACATCTGTGCTGGCTCTTCCAAGATTTAGCTTCACTGGATGTCACTGAGTTCTAGTATTAGATAAAGGTCCACTTTCTTCACACCATGCACAATCTTATACACTGATTTGGAAGACAAGAGCTGGGAGTAAGATTACCACTTAACGATACAGGCCTATAGAACCTTGCAAAACATTTCAGATGAGACCTCTTGGTCACAGGCTGATGTTGACCACTAAAACGACACTCCAGGAGAAAGGCCCTGCTCCACTCCCATCTCACATGCTTCCCCAGCATCCGGCGTAAATATCCGTAGCGGGTTTGCATGGGGGGAACCATCCATCGCTGTGCCAGGAGACAACTACAATGTTCCCGCCAGTTGCCTCATTGCAATACATCCGCGCATTTATGAGAGAGGCATGAAGAGCCATATTTGCCTAAAACACATGTATGGATTTGTGTGCGTGTGTCCACATATATTTGGGGAGCAGGGATGCCACTGACTTACGTTGCGCTTTGCTGTTGTTACAGAATCCTTGAACCCCTTCAATACAGGAATATGCAACTGTCTCATACAAGGGTTGAACCATGGCATGATCAGCACAAACACTCTCTGTCTATAACTAGATTCCCCCTGCCCCAACTTCAACACAACATGTCTTTTTCTCTCTGCGTGTCTGTTTGCATCCAGTACAGTGGTACCTCGGGTTACATACGCTTCAGGTTACAGACTCCGCTAACCCAGAAATAGTACCTCAGGTTAAGAACTTTGCTTCAGGATGAGAACAGAAATCGTGCTCCGGCGGCGCAGTGGCAGCGGGAGGCCCCATTAGCTAAAGTAGTGCTTCAGGTTAAGAATAATTTCAGGTTAAGAACGGACCTCCAGAACGAATTAAGTACTTAACCCGAGATACCACTGAAATTTACTTTTTACTGTCCCTGTATTCCAACTGCCTGGGCGCATTTCGGCCTAGTGCAACGGCAGCCACACATTCTAGTGTAGCTGTTGTTTGTTTTCTCGGGTTGTGTGCCGTCCATGCCATGTAGGAGAGAGGCAACCCGGAACAGGAGAGATTTGGGAGCTGTGAGGTGTTTGGAGACACAAACTACAGTTGCTGGGATTATTTGGCGAGGAAGCCATGAGTCTCAATGCGGAATAAGCGCTTTAAATGTGCGCTTCTGCAGAATGAATACTGAACCTGAAACCCCCAGTGCTGGCCCTCACGCTGAATAGGATTGTGTCAGAAATTTGCCTGTGAAATAACCTAAGTCTCTCTTGTTCCAGGTCCCCTCTCTTCTGCTCCAGGTGCCATCTTTGATTGCTATTCGTAACATGATTCTAGCTTGTCAAACACCATGCTGGGGGTGGTCAGGCAAATCTCTCACATGTTTAAATGCCACATGGAGGGGGTGGCTGTTCCCTGAGACTGCTCACCACACCTGCCTGTAGCAGCATGTTTGCTGCCCCCCATGCGTGTACTAGCTATGCCCATAAAACAACCTTTCGCAGGGGTCTTTCTGGGTCCTACAGAAGAAGCCCTGTTTGCATACATCAGTACATGTCTCAGGTCCTTTGTGCTCACTGCGCATGGAAGTGAAAAGCATGACTGGCAGATGAATCAGTGGCCAGGGAGGGGGCTATCCCTTGACCTCAAACATGTTTAAGATGCGCAAAGGGGTTTGTTTATATGCAACCATACTATTGTATTGGCTCAAATATAAGCCACACTTTCCCCCCCCCCCCAGATTCTGACAGTGAAAAGTTAAAGTGCGACTTATATTCGTGACCTTACGATATCGCTGCTGGGACAGCCTAGGAAGCCACCACGAGGGCTGTCGGGGGTGCGGGACAATGGTGCCCGCCTCGTCCGCTGCTCCCAAGCCTCCCCCGAGCCGTCAGAGCGAAGGGGGGGAGGCCGCCGGCAAAGTGGGCGGGA